AGTTGAGGAAGAGAGAGAAAAGAGCTACGATAGAACTGAGCAGTTGTTAAGGAATACTTGCTAGAGACCAGAAGACGACAGATGATAGAAGAAACTTATATCTTAGAAATAAACATACTTTCATTATCGTTGGACACCTGGAGTTTGAGTTGTTGCATTTCGTCCAAGTCTACGTTGTGCTTTTGTCTGTCTCAACGCCTAGACACCCACAATATAAATCACAGAGAGGAGCGGTCCTGTACTGACCACTACTAAGTCAACATAGTTTGTACAAATGACTGGGGCGGGGGTACAGGACAGAGCTCCATTGTTGTTGAGGTAACTTATAGGATGGAAGGAAACTGCTGTTAATGGGGTTAAGTTAAGGTTAATAGACTCTCACATCTTGATATAGTGGGAGATTGTTTCTTTAGATAATAGTATGTTCGGGTTTTCCAGACTTCGCATGATAATTTTTGGGTTAACAATGGGAAGGTCTAATTGACCGGAAATTAGGGGGCATGGGTGTGTTTATAGATAGCATTCCTGGACCACCTATGGGGGGTAGAGAACCACATATAAGAGGGAGCTTTCACTGAGTTAAGTTAGTTGAGGGAGAGTGAACACAGGTACGACGAGTTGAGGAAGAGGGAAAGGAGCGACAGTAGTTAGTTGAGGAAGATAGAGAAGAACTACGGATTAGTTGAGGAAGAGAGAGAAAAGAGCTACGATAGAACTGAGCAGTTGTTAAGGAATACTTGCTAGAGACCAGAAGACGACAGATGATAGAAGAAACTTATATCTTAGAAATAAACATACTTTCATTATCGTTGGACACCTGGAGTTTGAGTTGTTGCATTTCGTCCAAGTCTACGTTGTGCTTTTGTCTGTCTCAACGCCTAGACACCCACAATATAAATCACAGAGAGGAGCGGTCCTGTACTGACCACTACTAAGTCAACATAGTTTGTGTTAAGTCAGGACAGGAGCCCTCCTCCGTAACCACCGTTCTGTGACATAGTGCTAATCCTAAACAACTGTTCTAAAGGTGTATGTAGTGCTAAGCCCAAACAACTGTTCTAAAGCTATAGTGCTCAGCCAAAACAACTGTTCTAAAGGTGTAGTGCTAAGCCCAAATAACTGTTTTAAAGGTCTAGTGCTAAGCCCAAGCAACGGTTCTAAAGGTGAATGTAGTGCTAAGCCCAAACAACTGTTCTAAAGGTGAAGCGCTGAGCCCTAACAACTGTTATAAAGGTGTAGTGCTAAGTCCAAACAACTGTTATAAAGCTGTAGTGCTCAGCCAAAACAACTGTTCTAAAGGTGTAGTGCTAAGCCCAAACAACTGTTCTAAAGGTGTATGTAGTGCTAAGCCCGATTCGCCCACGGAATGCATTAGTGGTGTGCCCCTTTACTCCTAAGCCTGTGCGTCAATGTCTCGTGATCGATGACCTCTAACACTCCGACATGCCACTTCACATCTTAGCTCTGCAATCTCTTTAGTGTTTCCATATGACATAAGAGCGGGATTAGAGACGTTTGGGGATGGTTTCTGTCGGCTGACAGACGTCAAACTGACCTACAAACCACGGCACATTCTGCTCACTTACAAAGGGCAAATAAACATATTTCTCCGTCAGGATTAAGGTCCCGAAACTCCAGTGCCACCCTGTGAAGATTTGCTCTTATCAAAGCGTCAATCAGCAAAAACCAAACAATTTTTTTTCTTAAAAAGACTCCAAGCGCTGAGATATAGTGCATTGGTCTAACGCTAAATTAATCTAAAAAAAAATACATCTAAACCCATCGCATTTTTTTTTTACAAGTTCACACTATCGATTGAAATATCTCTGATGAATTTAATGTCCACAGTACACAGAACATTATGTGAATCAGTGTGTTGTGAGTCGGGTGCTTCTTTTTCATACGCTTTTTATTGGCTTGCTTGGCCCTTATGTTTGTGGTGGAATCTCGTATCTCACTTTTAAAACACTTCCTGGCGTCACATTGAGCTGAAATTTAGTAGTGTCACTGTCATATTTGGTTATCGTTAATACCCGAGACGGTGTGGTTCAAATAGTGACTGATTTTTAATATCGACATTAACAATAATAAATATGTTTCACAAAATTCGAAGGTTCTTGGAATTATATAACACGAATTTCAATGACTATTAAACCTATACATAAAATAATCTTCTTTTAGTTTTATTTGATAATGTTATCAACAAAATCTACGACACAATGTCACCGGCCTCTGTTCATTCCACCACTCCTTTCTCCACTCCAAAAACAAACTCCTTTAATCAAACAAAACTCTGATTGGCCAGTTCCTCCCAAGTCCCAATACTCTGTATCTTATGCAAGAAATAGTAACCATGTTACTAGCCTCCCATTAGTGGTTCGCATATTCTGTGACAGGTACACTTACCCGATGACAATGATCAGTGGGTCGCCAGTGACTTCCACTTGCCCTTGAGTGGCCTTTTTCGGATTTCTCGGGAATATAAAGTGATCGAGACATCGGGTGCTCACTACAGCGTTTCCCTTAGGCATGGCCACCCGTTCCCGATAACAATCAACGATGAGAAACACCGTTTTTTCCCCCACAGAAAGGTCACACTGACCTTCTACGTGTTTGTATTTCATGGGCGCCACACACTTTTTAGTCATCATTTCAACGCACTTTCTGATATCCTGTTACACCTTACAAGACTAAAAAAAGGTACAAAACAAAAATACTTTTTTTTTTTAAATATTTTTTTTTTAAAACACGCTTTTTCTACAAAAAAAAAAATAATAATAATATACTAAAAAGTATAATATAAATGTCCCCAAATTAGTTGATACAGTTGTATGACTAATGCAGTGTGGAGCGCCCAAAAAATACAATGATGACTTGACAAATACAATGTTGGACACAGGTATACGTTTGGAGCAAGTGTTATGAGACACATGAGTTCTCACAACCACCTTGCCTTACTGGTGTATGCTCCCATCAACATGAGTTCTCACAACCACCTTGTCTTACTGGTGTACAGCTGCCGTGCCTTTCTGTTTTTATGCTCCCATCTATCGTGATCTTCAAAATAGTGAAATTAATTAGCGATACCGCTGCGTACATGTCTTTGCGATTTGCAAGGAACATTGAGCCCTTTTTAGTCATGTGACTGACGGACTGTAAACAGCTCTGAAGTTTTGGGGGACATTTATTTTATACTTTTTGTGCTGTACATTTTTAGAAAAAGTGTGTATCCTAAAAAGTACATTTACATTTATTTTATACTTTTTGTGCTGTACATTTTTAGAAAAAAGTGTGTATCCTAAAAAGTACATTTACATTTATTTTATACTTTTTGTGCTGTACATTTTTAGAAAAAGTGTGTATCCTAAAAAGTACATTTACATTTATTTTATACTTTTGTGCTGTACATTTTTAGAAAAAGTGTGTATCCTAAAAAGTACATTTACATTTATTTTATACTTTTGTGCTGTACATTTTTAGAAAAAGTGTGTATCCTAAAAAGTACATTTTCATTTATTTTATACTTTTTGTGCTGTACATTTTTAGAAAAAGTGTGTATCCTAAAAAGTACATTTACATTTATTTTATACTTTTGTGCTGTACATTTTTAGAAAAAGTGTGTATCCTAAAAAGTACTTTTACATTTATTTTATACTTTTTGTGCTGTACATTTTTAGAAAAAGTGTGTATCCTAAAAAGTACATTTACATTTATTTTATACTTTTTGTGCTGTACATTTTTAGAAAAAGTGTGTATCCTAAAAAGTACATTTACATTTATTTTATACTTTTTGTGCTGTACATTTTTAGAAAAAGTGTGTATCCTAAAAAGTACTTTTACATTTATTTTATACTTTTGTGCTGTACATTTTTAGAAAAAGTGTGTATCCTAAAAAGTACATTTACATTTATTTTATACTTTTTGTGCTGTACATTTTTATAAAAAGTGTGTATCCTAAAAAGTACATTTACATTTATTTTATACTTTTTGTGCTGTACATTTTTAGAAAAAGTGTGTATCCTTAAAAAGAACATTTACATTTATTTTATACTTTTTGTGCTGTACATTTTTAGAAAAAGTGTGTATCCTAAAAAGTACTTTTACATTTATTTTATACTTTTTGTGCTGTACATTTTTAGAAAAAGTGTGTATCCTAAAAAGTACATTTACATTTATTTTATACTTTTTGTGCTGTACATTTTTAGAAAAAGTGTGTATCCTAAAAAGTACATTTACATTTATTTTATACTTTTGTGCTGTACATTTTTAGAAAAAGTGTGTATCCTAAAAAGTACATTTACATTTATTTTATACTTTTTGTGCTGTACATTTTTAGAAAAAGTGTGTATCCTAAAAAGTACTTTTACATTTATTTTATACTTTTTTGTGCTGTTCATTTTTTGAAAAAGTGTGTATCCTAAAAAGTACTTTTACATTTATTTTATACTTTTGTGCTGTACATTTTTAGAAAAAGTGTGTATCCTAAAAAGTACTTTTACATTTATTTTATACTTTTGTGCTGTACATTTTTAGAAAAAGTGTGTATCCTAAAAAGTACTTTTACATTTATTTTTTTTTAAATTTTAGATTTTATTTTTTTGTGTTAACAGACTTCCAAGCCATGCTTGACGTATTAGCTACTTGTATTAACAAATGTATTTGTTATTGTTTTTGTTTTTTTTTGCTTTTTTAAAGTGAGATAGTGATAAGTACAGGACTACAGTGTGTGACTAATTTGTTTATATACAAACATTATCTGCAAACAAAAGCTGGTTCCTTTGTGACAAATTTGTTAAATGTGACTTCAAGATGGAAGTTCAGCCATTTTATTTTATTTATTAATTTTTTCTTTCAGGGTTATTTCTCCCAAAATTTAGAAGCACAATTGAATTCATGGGCTGATATGCAGAACACGCCCCTTTGCGTTGCAAGAAAAATACCATACACAAATTTTTAAAATTTAATTAATTTTTTTTTTGTTGCTAATATTCTAAAATTATTATTATTTTTTAGGGGAACTCCACGTGCCGCTGGAAGTGTGTGGCGCAGTTGTGAAGCGCGAGCTCGACTTTTGGCAGATCAACGAAATGGAGATAAAAGCTTGCTGTTGGCGGCACTACAGGTCGTACATTGAGAACCAGCACATCCTAGATTCATTTAACCACAGCCTCCGGAGCCAGGCAGTGGACATTGACCTCAATATACTCACCGGATGGGAAAAAATCCAGTGGACGGTCTGGCTGATATTGGAATACCCCAGGACGTCAAGAATCGCAATGGTGAGCGTAGATATTGCACGCCTAGGGGTGATAACGGTGGGGGGGGTGAGGGGGCACTGTTAAGAAAGCTTAACAGGCACATAATAATTGCACATATAATTTGAACTTTATTTTATTCTTACTTTTTGTTCATCCCCATTTAGAAACTTTAAAAAACTATAATTCACTACAAGCGTGTGCCTCACCATCAGAGCCCCCACCCTCTGCGCCCCACCCCCAGAGCCCCACACCCCAGAGCCCCACACCCTTAACCCCCCTTAGACCCCACCCCCTGAATCCCACCCCCTGAGCCCCCACCCTTAGAACCCCACCCCCCAGAGCCAAGACCCCACCCCCTGAATCCCACGCCCAGAGCCCCATCCCCAGAGCCACACCCAAGCCCGACGCCACCTCTGGTATCTGCCGCTTATGCTCGTGGCACGAATCAAAATGAGCTGGCACATCAGCATAAATCTTTTGTATCACTATTAGCTCCCAATAATTCCTCCCGAGCCGTCCAAGTCATGTTGAGTCGATGGCTGACCTGATGGCATCTTCTCGTCGTGGATTCTGTTTTATCCTCCTCTTTCCTGTTAGGTCCGAGTCTGCTTGGCCGAGAATAATTGATGCGATGCCAGCCCCCCCACCCCCTTTAGGCAGTGCTTGATAGGCAATCTACTGGTCTTGATGCTGTTCTCACACTGGACATAGGTTATCTTCAAATCTACTTGCCTATATGATATTCTATCCGCTGTAATAGATCATCCTTTGAACTACTAAACTAGACTCCTAGATCTTGTTTTAGCCTTTGACATAGTTCAACCCATTTTTATTTTTCTTCCCATGCTTTTCAAACTGACAGTTCTGTACAGACTTATGGTTACAAGAAGCAAAATTTATTGAATATTACTTTCATATTTTAGAAGTTCGGTTGAAAGTAACAAATGAAATCATCAGGGATGGAATGAAATAGATGAAAACATCTGCTTTAAGGGCCCATAATTGCCAGACACATTTGTGATTATTTTAAAGACGATACCTTTGTTACACCCAACACATTTTAATCAACCAAAATCGGTTATAGAATGTTTTATCATGATATTATCAACCCATCAGCCTGGTTGGGAGGTGGGGGGGGGGGGGCTATGGGGTAAGGGGGCAATGAATCTTAATGAAAAGGGACTTGGAACGTTTTGATTTTATTTCTCAATGATTTGGGTAAAATTATTTTCAGCTGAAAAATCCAAAANAATCAACCAAAATCGGTTATAGAATGTTTTATCATGATATTATCAACCCATCAGCCTGGTTGGGAGGTGGGGGGGGGGGGGCTATGGGGTAAGGGGGCAATGAATCTTAATGAAAAGAGACTTGGAACGTTTTGATTTTATTTCTCAATGATTTGGGTAAAATTATTTTCAGCTGAAAAATCCAAAATTTTTTTTTAAAAATCGATTTATCTTTCTTTGATTTTTTTTTTTTCAAAATCCACACACGTGTTGTTATAAGTCAATCAGAAAACAGATTAAAGATACAGTGGATATTGGAAGCCCAATAATTTTCTTATAAAACTTCTCAGCGTGGCTCTAGGGTTTTAATCTAATACTAAACCCTCAAACCTAAAGCTGGAAAAATTCAAAGGTCTAAAACGATCTTTGTTCTTATGCTTATTTTTGGGATTCTCCTACTGCAGGATCGGTAGAGGTGCCAAGTCCCTTGACCTAATTCATCAGTAAGCCATTCACGTGATTAAAAAGTATCGCATGAAATCTGTACAACTTATGTCTCGAATCTGTTGCAAAAATAGCAGCAGTAGAACTGTAAAAAAATTCTTTTAAAAAATTAGCTTGTTACTTGCCAAAGAAAAGAACAAACTTGTTTTTGACAGTCATTACCACAATCATAATATATGGGCACTTGGATTACCACAATCATATTATAGGGCAATCGGATTACCACAATCATAATATGGGGCCTCCGGGTTACCACAATCATAATATGGGGCATTCGGTTTAACACAATCATATCATAGGGCACTCGGGTTGCCACAATCATATCATGGGGGGGGCACTCGGATTACCACGATCATAATATGGGGCCTCCGGGTTACCACAATCATAATATGGGGCATTCGGTTTAACACAATCATATCATAGGGCACTCGGATTACCACGTTCATAATATGGGGCCTTCGGGTTACCACAATCATAATATGGGGCACTCGGGCTACCACAAACATTTTATGGGGCACTCGGGTTACCACAATCATATTATGGGGCACTCGGGTTACCACAATCATATTATGGGGCACTCGGGTTACCACAAACATATTATGGGGCACTCGGGTTACCACAATCATATTATGGACATATCATAGGGCACTCGGATTACCACGTTCATAATATGGGGCCTTCGGGTTACCACAATCATAATATGGGGCACTCGGGCTACCACAAACATATTATGGGGCACTCGGGTTACCACAATCATATTATGGGGCACTCGGGTTAACACAATCATATTATGGGGCACTCGGGTTACCACAATCATATTATGGGGCACTCGGATTACCACAATCATATTATGGGGCACTCGGGTTACCACAATCATATTATGGGGCACTCGGGTTACCACAATCATATTATGGGGCACTCGGGTTACCACAATCATATTATGGGGCACTCGGGTAAGAGCAACAGGAGCGCTCATTGTATAGACTTAATTGCTCTAAGAATGTGAGTGATGAAATAATAAACTGCTTTATAAGTCAAGTCACCTCAAATTTAACCCAAAAAATTGTATAGATTGTGGACGCCATTGTGACTGATGTCAAAAAGCACATGCCTTACAACGTCTATTTCATAGCGGATGAAACATCGGACATATCCGGTCTGTTTAGAGGAGTTTGATCGTGTGATTAAGAAAACATGGCCGCCTGGGTTTATTGAATTTAATGCCGCGTATGCTCCAACGATATCAGACGACGTGGGCGGACACGTGTCTGAATAGTGAAGTTTTCTAGCCAGACCAGTGTGGCAGACACGTGCCTGAATAGTATAGTGTTCTAGTCAGACCATTGTGGCAGACACGTGTCTGGATTGTGAAGTTTTCTAGCCAGACCATTGTGGCAGGCACGTGTCTGAATAGTGAAGTGTTCTAGTCAGACCATTGCAGCAGACAGAGTTGTTAAACCATGACAGGATTTATTGCAACTGCGGTGAAGGCAAATGCCTTTACATTTTTCTGTCTGGCTCAAAACATTGTTATGGATTGCCAATCATTTGGATTGCTATGCTGCGATAACATCATACATTCTTTAGCTAGCGACCATAACTGTCGACCGCAACTGTCGACCACAACTGTCGACCATAACTGATCACCACAAATGATTACAAAAATTGACGACCAGGGTGAGGTAGGCGTATAAAAAATAGCAGATAAATACTTCTCAAAACTTAATAATGCTAGAAACGTAAATATTATTACGTAGATACTTTTATTTAAAGTTCGGAATTGTGATGAGTTTTTGCAAGAGCAGGTAGAAATGATCGCAAAGGACCTACCATTAATAACCCGATAACATCGGGTAATATGTTCTAGAAATTAAATAATTATATTCAGAAATGTCACAATAGTTCAATAAAAGCTATATTTATTGATATTACTTATCCTGTCGTTGGGTCATGCAACTAAATTCCAACGCACCTTCTACCAAAGGTCGCTAGCCATTTGATTAACATTTCTGAAGGTACTCTTGGTGTCTGTCTTTCAACGATATCCATCTTTTAAAAAAATCGCAAGGTTGATCTGATGTCCATCATTCTGATACTATTTAATCCTCATAAGTATGTCTAAATGTGACTCTTCCAGCCTATTTCTAGATTTTTATTTTTTTATCATTCATTTGGCTTAATCCACGTTCACAATCGGCGTTTGATTCAAGAGGTGTAGCACAAATCTCGAACAGAATGGCAATGTCGCCGAAGTGCTCCTCATGTATTAAAAATTGAACCATCTCGTCGAAAGTCTGAGTAAGCGGAGCGTCTCCGAGGAAACTTGGGGGACGTCCACGTGATGTTTTGAATCCTCTTGGCGAGGGGGTCTAGTAAGGAGGTACTGTTCTCCCGAAGCTAAAAATAAAAGCCCGGCCAACCGCATGACTCCCAAAGCAACGGGAGTAGTAACGTCGTAACATGTTTACTTGTTGCCGTTAATGGATATGAGGTTTGGGTGGCGGTTAAAACCCAGGCTGATGATTTTAGTTACGCGGCCGTGAGAAAGTCGCTCCTATGTGACCGTTTCGTCCCAGCTTTCGTCCCGAAAGAAAGACTCCCTGGGCGGTGGGGGGTGGTAACGCAACAACTTCCCTCCGGAGTGGAAGCAAACCAGCCCAGTTCCAAGGAAAAGTGGACTGAGAACGCTTTAAATGCAGCGTTTTTGGTCGAGCGGACGTCTCCCTGGCAGGGGGGGGGCGAGGTTCCCGGCGTGCCGGGAAACCCGGCGCCTGGTCCGTGTTGAGGCCTGCCGGGGGGGGGGTGGAGGGCGGTGTATTAAGAGCTCGCGCTCGACGACCCGCCGACGCCATTTCTGAATGTGACGTCGAAAGTCAACACACATTTCATTTTATCTGCAATCAAAAATCTTAAGTTACAATACTGATCCTCAAATTTCGGCAGAATTTCATCATAGTTTCTAGGGATGCTGTATATTGAGAAACCAGTGCTGCAAGTTCTTCCTGGCCAAAATTAAAATCTGAGGTGTCGATTAACGCTGATATCTCAAAGATTTGCAATTGCATCAACTCACTTTCAGGGAAACGAGAGTCCGGGCGCAAACATAAACATTCAACGAATTTTAGGATGGAACTCGAGTTTATACCCTCGTTATTTGAAAACAATTCAGCAACCTCTTCGGATCAGTGCACATTTTCACCAACAACTTCAAAATGAGTGCAGTTCGAAACGGCGGATCCCTTAGTTGTTTTTTTCAAACACTACTTATGAACTGGATCCTTATACAGGCCCACTGCTCCTCACAGTATTGATTCAACACTTGTATGTTTCTCAGCACTGCTCGTAAAGCAAAGTGACGCGAAAGCCATCTGATTTCATTCAATGGTCTACAGCTGACCTGCACAACTCAAAATGTAAGGTGGGCCGTAATACTTTATAAAAAAAAAAACGTGTGTGATTATAACGAAAATAGTACAGGACTCGTGCGGGACAAAAGAAAATAGGATAGGAAGGAAAGCTATTCAGAAAATAATAAGAATCAAAAATATTTCGTTACTTTGCGGGCCGCAAATTGTGTGCTGCATGCGGCCCACCGGCCTTGTGTTGCGCAGGCTGGGTCTAAAGGTTATGGAATAACATTCCAACACCTTAGCTATCTCGGTAAACTGGGCTGTCTGTACTGTCGACCTACTGAAGAGTGTACACTGTCCTAAGGAATGTTTCAATGTCTGCCATCAGTGCTCTCATCTACTATTAATTTGTGAAACTTTGCATTGCAAAGTTCGCTAATTATAGCATCCTTCGCTGCAGAATAGATAGAATTAACAAACTCAAAAGCGTCATTCTTACTGCGCCAGCTATCAGGGACTTAGCCAAATGTATGTGTATGTATTGAACCGCATTCATAGATAAACATAATAATAATAAAGATTATTTGAAAATCACGCTTCATCCCCAAAGGCTCGAAGCGCGGTACATACCACATGAAGTACAAAATGCAACATTTCAAAAACTGCATACGAGAATACCCATTCTAAGTCTTTCATACCTTTCAACCATAAACAACACAAGCCAATATACATCTACAAGATAATAGCTAGATAGACAACATCACCTCAGCAGGTGTTTGCGAAATAAATAAGTCTTCAAATCAGTTTTGAAGACTCCAGTGTCTGGTTGTGTCTGAGAGCGACAGGAAGGGTGTTCCAAATTTTGGGCCAGTAAATGCGAAAGTGCGCCCATCGTAAGTCTCAAAGCGAACACGTGGTATCGAGAGTTTGCTACTATCAAATGAGCGGAGTTGTCTAGTGGGTACATAAGGCATCAGTAGCGCTTTGAGATAGAACGGCCCCAGCCCATGTGCAAGCAGATGTAGCACAGAGTTGCAATTTTGTACTTTATGCGAGCGTGGATCGCAGCCAATGTAACTCTCTCAGAAGTGTTTTAGCATGGTTGAAATTGCGTTTTGGAAGAACAATGCGAGCCGCATTATTCTGTGCTTTAGTAATTTAATCCAGGAGCGTGGCTGGAAGACCCACCATAATAGCATTGCAGTAGTCTATGCGTGATAGCACGAATGTAGACATCAGCCTATTTGATGCATCTAACGTTAAAAAAGGTCTGATATGACTAATTCTGCGCAGCTCTAGAAAAATTGCCTTGCATAGCATGTGAATGTGATTTTAAAAAGTGTTCTGTCTAAGTAGACACCCAGGTTTCGCACTGTTTGAGCTAACTCGATCTGTATACCTGAGAGAATAAGGGTTTGTGTGTTATTTATATATTTTAGCTTTTGAGCGGTAGCACTGGGGATCAGCTCGGCCTTTTCATCGTTCAATTTAAGCTTGTTTAGATGTTTTCATGTTGATAGCCAAGAGGACGTTGTAAATCAAAATTTTAACCTGGTCTTCTCCAGCATTGTTACGATGTGCTGCTTCTTGTCTCATGTCTCGATCATCGACACTCTCTGTAAGCATTCGCTGTACACCTCCTGACTGTATAAATTTAAGTCTCTGTGCAGCATCTGGGTGTATTTTTTTTGCTTGATATGTTGTTTAGGATAATCCAGCTTCCAAACCTCCCACCTTTTCCCTTTGGAGAAATCACCACCTGCATAAGCTTTGAAGCACATTTCACAGACAACATCATCATTAATTTCAAGATATTTAAAAATATCACCCAGCGTGACAGTCCACTCTGACGACGAATAAGGTAGTGCTGCATGCATAAATTCATTGAGCCATTTCGTTTTTAAATGTGATCTACACTTTTTCTTAGCAAGCGATGACGCTGACAGTTCGCTTAACTGACGTTTAGACGTAAAGATTGAAACATTATTAAAAAAAAATTAGCTACTACATTTATAATAAAAAGATATTATGCGATTCATTTACTTTATTCACATTTACTGCCCAGTATGCGCCACGAAATTTACATAAATGGTGGCGGGGGTTCAGAACGAGGCTAGCTTGATTCTGTATGTATCGTTAAATATGTAAATCAATAATTCTGCGCCAAAAGTAGCAGACAAAAATATAGATGAGAATCAAATGAAAAACATGGATGTGTATGCTATTAAAAATATAAAATTCGGCCCCAGAATGCAACTTATCTGTCGATTTTTTAAAAATACAAATTTGCTGCGTGGATACACAAACTGCTGCGCGGCGTCTGTGAGATAGCTGCGCGGCGTCTGTGAGATAGCTGGGCGGCTTAGATAGAACATTGAGAATCGCAAGTGCATACTATTTTCTTTTCTTTTTCTGTAATAGTTTGTGAATAATCTGTTGTGTAAAACCGGGTGGGAATTTTATTATTTTATCTCCGGGGGGGGGGGGGGTTTTTTTTTTTTTGCCTTGGGTGGGGGAGCACTAATTGGGATTCTTATAAGTTGCTTTACTTGTATACATGTATTTTAAAATTTTAGCTCCAACCTCAGCCCCTCTATACTATATTCAAAAAAGGACTTATACGAAAAATATTTTTAAAGGGTTGTTTAATTAATAAGGCCTTTAAATAAACTTCGATTTTATTCGTGGCTGCCTGGCTGGCAGGGTGGCTGCCAGACTAGCTGCAAAATATTCGGATGGCCAAATGATCGACTTCTCCTCAACAAATCGAGCTGAAACTCGGAACATAGACTCGTTACCGATGCTAACACATTTTTTTCGAATGTTCAGCCCCACCACACAACCCCCAAGTATCTGTTTTTTCCTGCTTTGGAGGGGACGATATTATGATGACGCTGACTTCACGAAATAAAATTCCCAATAACTGCGCTAAAAGACATTATTTTAAATATATATATATATATATATATATATATATATATATATATATATATATATATATATATATATATATATATATATNATATCGCAAATGCGTTTGGTGCGTAATATGTTCTTTTGTTTTTCTGAAATATTGGGTGAAATAAATATGTGTTGTAAAAGCGGCTGGGTCATTAGAATTTTAATATCGTTCAGGGGCGTGAAAAAAAAATATGTGACGTTGCTAGGTTGCTAGCAATGGGGGGGGGGGGAGGGGGGTTGTGAGCACTAATTGGGATTTTTATAAAGTGCGTTACTTGTATTCATGTTTTATAAAATTTTCAGCCCCACCCCTATTGCTCGATATTACAATTTATGAAGGATTTATACAAAAAAATCGTATTTTATGGGTTCTTTAATTAGTGTATGATTAAGAATGTTGTCATTTCCCCCCTTCCCTTTTCCCCAACCCAATCCACTTAAACTTAAAAACAAAGTCTGCTACGTCCAGTGCTACGTCCAGTGCTACGTCCAGTGCTACGTCCATAATGTATTCACGGTTCATGTCAAACCTAAGTTTTTGTTATTCACTTCGCATTAGATTGTCATCACGTGACTTGTTCATTAGATTGTCATCACGTGGCTGGTTCATTAGATTGTCATCACGGGGCTGGTTCATTAGATTGTCATCACGTGGCTGGTTCATTAGATTGTCATCACGTGGCTGGTTCATTAGATTGTCATCACGTGACTGGTTCATTAGATTGTCATCACGTGGCTGGTTCATTAGATTGTCATCACGTGGCTGGTTCATTAGATTGTCATCACGTGACTGGTTCATTAGATTGTCATCACGTGGCTGGTTCATTAGATTGTCATCACGTGACTGGTTCATTAGATTGTCATCACGTGGCTGGTTCATTAGATTGTCATCACGTGGCTGGTTCATTAGATTGTCATCACGTGGCTGGTTCATTAGATTGTCATCACGTGGCTGGTTCATTAGATTGTCATCACGTGGCTGGTTCATTAGATTGTCATCACGTGGCTGGTTCATTAGATTGTCATCACGGGGCTGGTTCATTAGATTGTCATCACGTGGCTTGTTCATTAGATTGTCATCACGTGGCTGGTTCATTAGATTGTCATCACGTGACTGGTTCATTAGATTGTCATCACGTTGCTGGTTTATTAGATTGTTATCACGTGACTGGTTCATTAGATTGTCATCACGTGACTGGTTAATTAGATTGTCATCACGTGGCTGGTTCATTAGATTGTCATCACGTGGCTGGTTCATTAGATTGTCATCACGTGGCTGGTTCATTAGATTGTCATCACGTGGCTGGTTCATTAGATTGTCATCACGTGGCTGGTTCATTAGATTGTCATCACGTGGCTGGTTCATTAGATTGTCATCACGTGGCTGGTTCATTAGATTGTCATCACGCGGCTGGTTCATTAGATTGTCATCACGTGGCTGGTTCGAACCTTGACGACGTTCTGGGCAGATATTGTATAAAAATCCAAGCTTTAGTTGTGGATTCCGTCGACAAAACCAACACTGACTTTAGGATGGGGCTACGAAGCAAGAAGCAAATCATAGCCAGACAGAGAAAGGGGGGGGGGAGTGAGTGAGAGAGAAGCAGACAGAGAGACGGAGAGAGAGACAGACAAACAGAGAGAGAGACAGATAGACATACAGAGAGAGAGAGAGAGAGAGACAGACGGAGAGAGAGACAGACAGACCGACAGAGAGAGAGAGAGAGATGGAGAGAGACAGACAGAGAAATAGAGAGAGAGACAGACAGAGAGAGAGAGAGCTACGAACACGTATTTTAAAATGAAGCAATAAACATCTAAACGTGACCATCCTTATCGTGCATACATCGATTAGCATTTAGTGGGATCATCGGACGAGCACTCCACTTATGTAGGTCAATAGCCTCAGAGTCAGGTCTGGCCAGTTATCTCAAATGTTGTAGGTCAGGTGGTGAAAAATTAGTTGCGAGTGATTGATAAAAGGGTTTCAGATATCTTTGGGTGTGGTTTATTGGGGTGGCTCTACATCCTAATAACATTGTTTAGAATAGCTATCTCAGTATGTAGACAGTGACCACTCAGAGCAAATGGACGTTGATCAACTTTGAAACCTGAAATTATTTTATTTTTTATTAGAAGAAGAAGAACGAATTGAAATCCTGAACTCTAGACCTTGTAGATTTTTACACTATTAATTGGCATTAATCAAAATGATTTGCCGTGATACCAGGTTAAGTTTTGAATATTTGAAGTATAAAGTATACTGTTGAGGTTAAAATTAAAGGAAACTTGCTGAAGGGCACATGATGAGATAGTTACGCCATCTAAGTGCTAAAAGAGTGAAACTTAACATGAAATTAAACCCACAAAAAATAGGGCATGCAGCACATATAAAAAAAATATTGTTATTTATTGATTGGAATGACGTAATCAGCACGACATTGTGAATACATTATGGTGGAATCAATTTTTTCATCGGATACATACCTGCGGGTTACCTGTGATCGCTGGTCATCTGACAGGATTTAAGGGCAAGACTTATCTTTTTTAAATATATAAATTCTATAACCCAGAAGATAGGTATTTTAACTATGGCTTTTGAACCATGGCTTTTCAACTATAGATATTTTAACAACATGTATTTTTTAGGTATTCTAGCTATAGGTATTTTAACTATAAGTTGTTTTTTTTAAAATATAGGTCATCACTGGCGCACTCAAAGAGGCTCACTATAATTTAAAATACTTTCAGCAAGAAATTTGCATCAACATTTGTCCCCACTCATCAGAAAGCAGTTATGCCTCTTCTTTACATTATCGTATCAAATCATATTGAATATGATAAAGTATTCGAATAGACATAGGCATGTCTTTAAAAGTCTATTAAATTCATTATCTTGGTGCTTTATTTGGCTCAGCTTAGATCTGTGATTAAACTTTCTCCTGTATGATATCAATAAATCGAAGCCGGCCAACAATTTTCAGCTTCCTGATTCAAGTTTGGATTCTGCACCTCGCATTTAAACACATTCTTTGATTCTGGAATATGGGAATCTAGTTAAAAACTGTTTGCATCTACATAATCATCGTTAGTAATTTTTAAGCACATAGCTTAAAATACCAACAGGCTATCACTACCTGCCATATTATCTAGTATTTATTTATCAGATGTTATCTGTTAGCTATAATCTACTCTTACAAATATTATAATTTTATTAAAAATTCGCTAATTTATGGACCTGACTTTGAACTCTTACATTTCTAGGAATTATCATTTATGAAGCCAACTGGAAAAAAAAAATCCATATGGCCCTCTGCACAATAAAAAGTTTCGCTACTCTAAAATTTCTTGTTTTGTATTTTGGCTTCAGCTGCTGTTTCCAGTCTTAACCTATCACTTGCACTTAATTTACATTTTTTTTCAGGTTTATGGTGTGACATCATTCATGTTTGTCGTGACGTCTATAGCGGGCTTTTGTCTGGAAACGCTTCCTGAACTCAGGAGCAACATCACAACACCCTGTGAGGGAGAGAATCCTGGACAGCTTGGCAGGGTTAGTTACCTTCCTAAACATCGTAACATCTATATATAATTGTGATAGATGAGTAGAGGTGAAGTGATCAAACAAGATCTAGCAAACAATTTAAAAATTTGGAAATTTATAGTAGCCTTCACTTTATTAGATAAAACAAGTTAGGCGAATAATCAGACATCTCTGAGGTTAAGTGGTAACATGTCTGCTTCCGGAACAATGGTAAATGCTTCCTTGTGCCTTGGTGTAACACAGTTCAATATAAACAATCATTCTTCCCACGAACAATAATTGCTTGGAACCAACTGGACGATGTCGCCGTGGACTCAACATCAATCGAGAGTTTCAAGGTTGCCCTGGCACCCGCTATGAGCCGCTAGGATAGCCGCATTGTTTCCCAAACCGTTGCACATATGCCAGTACTTGGTTGCAGCAACATAGTCTGTCAGAATCAGAACACCAGTATAGCAGGTTGGACTTTGTCTGGGTTCATCTCCAGTCCCTGGTGACAGATAGCTGAATGGAATAGTAGTTTTAACCCTGAGACCTAAGCCATTTAAGTCAGAGAGAGACTTCTACATAAGCTAGGAACGAATAGTCAAATACATTATTCCTACACAGAAAAGTATCAAACAAACATACTACCTCAAAATATATAGGGCCTATATATATATATCTTTTTTTTTTATTTTTTTAAATTTTTTTTTAAAATTCATTTAATCTTAAAGAAGATTGGAAAATGTTTTTTCCTTGTGAAAAACCCTGCCAATTATCTGGTTTTTTATCATTTCATTTGTATACCTCACCATTGGTTACTTAAAGTAAATATTTACAATTGACAAATGACTAGTAGGGCCTACCTGTAAATGTTTTCATACTTAGTGTAACATATTCATTGCAGTCAGAAATTTAACAGAAACTTAGTTGGTGTCATGAGATTATTATTTCTTTTTTTTTTCAATCATCAGCATAAAGCATAGTGCTAAGCCAGTTTTACTAGTGCTAGAGTATCAACCTTATTATTCAATTTATTTATTAGGTGATGAAATCTCATGAAGCCTTAAATACTCTTGATATCATATGCACCGTGTTCTTCACCTTAGAGCTTATCTTCAGGTAACTATACATTTCTAAATACTTAACAATTTACTAATGAAGTTTTTTTGAAAATTTGGTATATTTACAAAATTTGTTTATTTTTAGAAAAAAAGCTAAAGCACATGAGTTAATGTGTGATAAGCTATGAGATAGTTTTTTTAGATGGCTTAAAAAAAAATTTTTTTGAAGCCTCAACCGTTAACTTAAAAGGTAATTTTGTATGCCTTAAATAATAAAATTTACAATAAAAAATATATAATTCTTATCTTTCACACATGCTGTTTATAAACCTGAAACCCACATGTAGCCCTTGGACAATGGGTTAAAAGAGCAATGTTTTAAATTATATTATAGTAGTTCATCCATGAATGTTGTTAAATGTATATTATTGGTCAAAAGTAGCTTAGTTACCAATATTAATTAAAGTGTACAGAAAAAAAACAATTTAATTTTTGGATGAATAGTCTTATTAACTTACGAAACTTTGCCTAGAATTCATTCTTGATTTCCAAGCCAAATTACCAGAACTGATCTGATTCTACAATGTTTACTTAAGAAATGGATTTTTTTTTTCATTTTTTTTAAAAGGTTCATCTTTGCACCAAACAAATGGAAATTTGTTAAGTCACTGATGAATATAATAGATTTGCTTGCCTTAGTGCCTCTCTATGTCCAGGTAAATTAAGCACTTTGATTTCATATTTTGAATAAATGATATTCTTACATGGTGATTTTATTTGTTTGAAGCAGAAAATGTCATTTATGGAAAAAGATTTGAAAAAGGATACATTTATATTTTGGCCTAGAAGCAAACATTTTTAAAATAAAAATACATGTTTATTTATAATTCTATTTATGCAAGATTTGATAAAATATTTTAATCCTCTTTCAGGTAATCTTCACAGAATCTGATAGTATGCAGGCATGCTACCTAAATGAACGCTTTGTCATTGAAATCATGTTCATTTTGCGTATTATCAGGATGTTCAGGATATTTCATCTGGTCAAACATTATCAGGCATTAAAGGTTAGCCTGACATTCAAAACACTACATTCTTTTTTGATATTGTATTTTGGAACCAAACAAATTAATTAAGCCAATCATGAATTTCTTTTCAAGAGTTTGGTTTAGATAACATTTCACACTTTAGCAACATACAAAATGAAATCCATGTATTAAGGTCCTAAATACTTCAGTAAACATTAATTGTTTCAAAAGTATTTTTCATAATATTCTCAGGTGCTGGTGTATGCAATCAAAGCCAGTATACAAGAACTGCTCATGCTTTTTATCTTCCTACTGATTGGGATGCTAATCTTCTCCACCATGATCTACTATGCGGAACGCAAGAACACAACCGAGGGGGGGGACATGTTCCCCACCATACCAATGGGCTTCTGGTGGAGCATCATTACAATGACTACTGTTGGCTACGGTGATGTCTATCCGACCTCTCCAATAGGTTATGTGGTAGGCACAGCCTGCTCAGTATGTGGTGTTTTATTGGTAGCACTCACCATTCCCGTCATTTCCAATAACTTCACACTCTTTTACCGCCATGTTCAGTCTCGTGCTGCTCTTCCACGGAGTCGAGGAGGTGATGGTTCAGATTATGAATCCGGTGACTCTGAGAAGTCAAGTTCCAGAAAATCATCTGCAGGATCAAACATGGTAGCATACATGAATGGGCATGTGACAGGTGTCAATCCATTCAGTCACAAACATAAATCCAACTCCACAGCAAGGTGGTCTCAGGGTGAATCAACGACGAGTGTTTCCTTAAAAAAATCTGCATCGGACTATGTGTTTCAAAGGAACCGTTCCTTCAGAGCTTATTCAGATGATGGTGTAATGTATAAAGGAGAAACAGTTGTCTGAGTTGAAATATTCATTTTTCAAATTGAACATAAGTGACATTCACAGAAAGTCATAGATACAAAATATAAAGATATATAGTAGTGTGATTACTGAGATTGGAATTCTCAGCAATAAGCTGACATGACAGAAAGATGAAATAAGCAAACAAAAGTGAAAAAGAACAAAGGAATAAGTCAATGTAAGTCTCAACGTTGATGTGCCCACCCTTCAGTACCTCAAACTTTAAATAATGAAAAATGTTCTCTTAACATGCACATCAAAAAGTTAAATATAATTTGTTTGAAATAACAATCAATGCAATAAGCTTTGTAGTTTATTAGTATCAAGAATTCTTTTTCAATTATTCTACTGCACAGTTACTAACTTAACAATGCTTCTTTAATTGCCCTCTAAATGGTCACAATGAATAAACATTTTCTGGGGATTGTTCAACTCAATATTTTGCACATTTTTCAATGGGACCACATTTTGAATAGTAAAATTTAATGTGTTTCTAATGACGTATTATTGTTTAAATGTTATTTGTGTGTTATCACCCTCATGAGATTTTACAAATGGCTACAGTTCTAATCATCAAGTTTGGATAGTTTATACAGTGGGCGTGAAGTGCTTCTTTACTGCTAGTGTACTTATGTAAATACTATTTATTACTTCCACAATTGTGTTCAAACTTTATACAATGTAACTACTTTCTTGTACAATAGAATTTTTCATTTTGGTTTATTTTTTGTTGACAACGATAAGCTAACATGTGAATTCAAATTTTATCTTCCATTATGTTAAAGGTTTAGGCTAAACCAATATCCAATCTCAGATGTCTGTAAAAAAATTATTTTATCCTATTGTTTGTATAAAAATTAAATTTCATAAAATATTACTTTGACGTGAAATCAAAAGCTCTAATCATAGTCCCTTTAATTACAGCAACAATAAAATTACAAGGAGTTAAGTAAAATTAAGAAAAATGTGTATCTTACTAGGCTTAGTATAAATTTATTAATTGTCTTAATAAAGCTAAAGTAACTCTTCTTAAGACATTAAATGTTTACTTTACATGTCTTAAACTTAAAAACTTGGCAAATAGTTGTTTAATTTAAATTTATTATTTCTTATCAATAGCTAAGCATAATTTTTATCAAAATATTAAACCCTCTTCTCTCTCTCTCTCCTTCATTTTTTTTTTACCCAATGTTTTGTATGATCATAATATAACAATTTTGTTTAAACAAAAAAAACATACTTGTTACTTTTAAGTGGAAGATAGGTGCTGAAAGTTCTAACATTTTTATTTTTTTATGCTTTTTTCAACTTTTTTTGCATTTTAATTTGTTCTCATTTCAAATACCATATAATATAATTATATTTGAGGAATCATTTTTAAAACTATTGTGGAAGTCATTTTATTTCTAGATATTCATCAAAGGGAGTAAGAAGTTTGATATTTGTCAAACATGTAATGTTATTTTTTAAAACATTTGTAGGCCCATGTATATCTTTTTATGGCTTTATATACTAAGTAAAATCAGGTGTTCACATGCTTAGTGAAAAGCCTTTTTTCAGGGAGATTTTAGCTCTTTTTTTAAGGTGGTTCAAAAAGTTACTCACTTACTGCTTGAAGTCTTGTGATCATTTTGTAATTTAAACACATTTCATTCGTCTTCCACTGATCACTAAATTTTGTCAAACATTTTTTTAGTGCTTTATGTTAGGAGCCTGTGGTTTCAAAATTCTTTTTGGGATCTAAATCAACCATGAATAATTATCAGCTGTACGAGCAGTACTTAATTTCATAGTCATGTTTGCAGTAGACTTTTTCTTAGTCAGCTTTTTTGTGTTTTTTTTTCTAATTTCAGCACGCATAAAGAAATACTTTTTTATTAATATTTATTTAAAAGAAAATTAATGCATAACTCTTATCAGAATAAGTAGGCCTATGTCTTTTATTGTTTAAAGTCCAAATTATTAAGTACATTTGCAATATATTTTATGACTGTGGAATAATCATAAGACCATCTTTGCAAAATAAACAAGCTACTTGTCTGTTAGTAAAAATTTGATGAACCTTAGGCTTCAGCAAATTTTGCATTGGCTGCAAATGAATCTTCGACATTTTATAAACTTAATTAATTTTGTACATTTACTGCTCTTAATACTACTAAGAGTTATAGGCTCATCACAATACATACTAAATAATACCGGTATTCGTAACTTCAAAATTAAAATAAAATAAGAAATTGAAAAAAATGGGTGAAGAATGTTGAGACTAGAACAATTTTCATTTAAGGCAAAAAGCAAATGTGATTAGCTGTACATCTAGTAATACCGCAGTAATAAAATTTTTTTTTACTTATTCATGCAAAAGTAATTAAATATAACTCCATCCAGCTGGGTTTTTACAGTGCTTATTCAAAATAAATGTATCTACTAGAGATGTTCCACAAAATGTTGTTGGCCATTATATTAAACCTGTAAAGTTTCTTTTTTTAATACATATTTGAAAAAAAAAAAAGATTCTTCTAAAGATGTTTGGCTAAAAATAAAACTGAAGGTGTCAGCAACTTATAAAAATCATCATTGATCAAAGTCATTATTACCTTCTATTTGAACATGCATTTTCTGTCAATAATATTTTAATACCCGTAACAAATTTTTAACTCTGTTTTCATTCAAATTTTGTTGCTTATTTTTTTTTCTTTTGAGCTTACTTTAGGTCACTTTTTCCCCTCTCTATGATAAATCATACCACACTACTGAATAGACAGACTGAAATGATTTTTTATAATACTCTGGATCATATTGAATGCATTGCATAAATAGAAATCATTTATTATAATTTATTAAGTTCATTTCTGCTTGATACTTTTATAGATGTGTGCTTGAGACATTAGATATGAATGCATTGCTTGTCATGTTTACTCTTGAATTTTCCCATAAGGTGGGCTGATCTGTGATGAAAACCTATGATATATTGTACATAAAATTGATCACAGCCTTCAACCAACACATTCTAAACAGAACAAACTTAATGTATTTTCTGATCACAACACAAAGCTAACACATTAATAATTTGACAGTCTATGTCTGACTTCAACCATTCCTCTTCTTATAAGCCATTTTTTAATTATTGTTTAATATTTCATTGTCAAATGTTTAACATAATAATTTTATATTTAATGTTACTGAACCACGTAAAGTCAAGGTGTAATTATTATTTATTTTTTTTATTTTTTTTTTAAAATAAATGAATTCAGTTTTCATTGAGATTGTGCACCAATGTCTTTCTGGCCTTTGAGTGATAGGTGAAAAGACTCAACATCTGCTTGATGATACTTTGAATGGTATTTGCATAAACTCAATAGACCCTTTAACTTAAATACTTAACATTCAATGGTAGGACCATAATACTTATTAATTTTGTCTTGCAAGTCTTAAAGATATTTTATATCAACTGGAGGCTCACTCCTTACACTCATACTTCCAATCCTGTTTGGTAAATTGTTATTGAAATGTAACATGAATATCAATGGAATAAAAAGCTTTGTCAAAATTCTCTAAAACAGACAAAAATAATAACCTTATCATTTAATAAGACCATAACAGTAATAAATAGAAATTAATTATTATACTGTTTATTACTACAAGTACTACAACACTGTGGTGGAAATATAATAAAATATTGTTCACCTTAAAACCATGCATTTTAAAGTTGGATGTTTCAAATTCATGCTTGATAGTTTTATCTACTTAGATATTTAACTTAAATAAAATCAATGTTTTTTTTTTTTTTGTGATCAATAAATACCATGCGATATTTATGAAAGGCTTTAACAGAATTTGCAAATTGTTATAATTGTTTAAGTGGGGAAAAAGAATTGTGTAGCAAAATAAAACAAGTTATTTACCAATCATATTTTAAATTTTAGAGGTTCTCTTATAATGTGGACTTTTATTAAAGTTAAAGATCTTCACTAGAAGGGGAAGTAAAATTAAATTCCAAACAAATAGTATGTGTAATTTTAATTGTGCAGGTAATGAAGAAACCAATGATGTCAATTTTTGGTGATTAATTTGATTTATTGATACTTTTCCCAAGAAAATTAACTTTTTAATGTTTACATAAATTATGTAAAACTTTACAATGCATGGTAATTAATGTGTGGTTATGTTCCTGCTTTCTATGCAAATTAAGTTGTTTTATTCTTTGTATGACTATGTTGGCCTTGACCTTCTGCCTGTTGTTCCTCACAAGGGCACATCAAATGATAGTCTACACACATCTATAGCAGCACATCAAATACTTGAGCCTGTAGGTAGAAAACTTCCTACCACCCCCCCCCCCCCCCCCATGTTTATTAGGTTTTCTCCATTAGTGGGTAAACTTTTTTCTTCAATTTTTTAAATACTCAATTGGCATTTAGTTCGTGTCTAGCTGGCCTTGTACATTTTCTTCATCAACTGAATAATTGTAGATATAATATACATAATATTGCTTCCTGAAGTATTTCAATGTATAATATTTTTTTTTTATCAACTTATGCCTTTACTGGTTATCTTGTTTTTATACAGCTTTTCCTACAGAGGTTTACAAATAATTTGCATTCAATTGTTAATGCTTTTATATTAAAATATACATGTATAAATTGTTTTAAACCACAGATCACGGTGGGCCAACTCAGTACAAGAGCATGTATGTCTGTGATACTTGGAAAAGGTATAGAAAAGTATAGAAAAAGAGTGCATCTTACTATAAAAAAAATTAGGATATTTAAATAGTGTCCCTTAAATAAGCACCTTCATTTTATTATTCTTCAACTATGAAAGATATTGATATCATTTGACAACTTTTAGAAGAATAGATACTGTATTTATATATCCACTTAAAATTAGATTGGAGGCCTACTCATATAAATATTGACAACAAAACTAGTCTTAAACCTCTTCTTTAAGTCTGACTTGTGAAAAAAATGTATCATTAAATAAAAAGATTTGTTATTTTACGGAATTTTTTATTTTACTGGGAAAAAAAAAGTATTTCATAAACACAATTAACAATATCTGAAAAGTTCTATCAAAATACCACTAATATTCTCAGTTGTATTGAATAACTAGTGAGCTCATTGTTTGCTCACTTTAGAAATACTTTTAAAAATGTATTCAGTTCAATGAGGCATTTCAAATACTACTTTTTGTTTTAATTAAAATTCTATGCTTTAGTATTATAAAACTTTTTAATAATTATTATTGCTTTTTTTCAATTATCAAGATTAAATTTAAAGTGAGGTCTGGTAGTCTATTTAGGTTTAGTAACTATTGAGCACTTAAATTAGTCAAATAAGTAGTTTAGCTGCTTCACTGAATTGTATGAAATTAGTGGTTTCTCTTGTCATGTTCACCTGCTTCAAAAACTAACTTCTAAAAATTGTATTCATTCTTCAAAACTTTTTTTTCTTAGAAGGAAGCAGTGTAGCAATCCTTTTACTTGTGAACAGTAATTTCAATAAAACAAAAACAATATATAAAATAATTGCATTTCATTTATTTCACTGAATTATTCATTATTCTCTAAATAAACATGACGTTATTTTAACATGGCATAATAGTCATTTAGTAAGAATATTTACAACACTTGGAAGAAGATGCTTTACTTTTGATATTTATACAAATAATGAGAGCATGTTGTATTAATTTCAATTATCTGGGGGAAATATTAGAATATTTAGAATTATCATAAACAAAGAATTATAAATAAATGCCTGTGTCTTTTACTTTGGATATAAATAAAAATAAGCTGGATTTGCTGGTTTACCTAGTGTAATTTTCAACTATGAGACTATGAGTCAATGGCTTTTTCTTAACTTCAAGTGGTGGTTACTTTGAATGCTAAAACTTGTATTTATTCTAATGAAGGATTTTAAAAACTAAGTTTAAAAATTCGTCCTATTATTATGTGTTCTAATCATTGAATCTCTGACCATGGACTGAAGATATGAATTTTCCAAAAATAGTCCTCAAGCACTTAATCCCTTTAAAAATAGAATCCTCCGATAATACTAGACTAACCGATCATCCTATTTTCATTCATATTTTATCAAAGCATTTAAAACAGTCTTTTATAGTTAATTAGGTGAATAAAACTTTTGTCAATTTCATCTAATTCATGCTTCCAGTTTATTTTTTGCTTCCATCATTTATAAGATAAAGTAAACTTGGCAATATAAATGAACAGTCTATGTAGATGAGTAGCTCAATTTTGTCAATTATTCTCTAGGCATTTTGTATTTTATGGTATTATTATGTATATTTAAAGATTAGTAAAATCAGATAAATGAACTTCTAGAAAATTCAATGTCTTTTTAATTACTTTTTATCCTCTATTATTATGGCATCAGGAGGTTTAATTTGTTTAAAAGAGGGTATTTAGTTAAAAGTGTGAGCATCATTGTCCTAAAGCTAATTCTTTTGGCCCATTACCAGCACTTGCTCATATTAATTTTTAAATACTTTGGCAGACAGTACTATTAGTCAGCATAAGTTTCTAAAAAACATATATTGACTTTTTTTTATTTGTCCGAGCATTTTTTTTCAAGAGAGCCAATTTTTAAATTACCCTTCATTACTATTGAGTTGTATCTGTGAATTTGATGTGAGCAGCCTTATTTGTTGCATAAATACAACTATTTCTCAATCTCTATGTTTATATGTGTGAAAACCTTGTAAAAAAAAAAAATCCCTCTTTTGTGGTAGCCTGAAAATGAATCAGGAAATAATTGTGAAGTTTCCCACTGATTTTTTAAAGTTAGTTTTGGTAAGTAGCAATAAAAAAGGGTTTCTCATTTACAAAACTGAATCAAAATTCTCAAAGCCCATAAACAAGATTAGGAAAGAAATTGTAATTTTGAGAAAGACAACTATTTTTAATCATTTATATTTTTAATATCTTTTTTTTAAAGAAATGTAAGTTAATTTTAAACTGCTTTTAAGTGCTTTTTACAAAATTTTCTGTCAAGATGTTTACTAAACCATTTCAATTACATTTAAGAATTAAGCCTTATTTCTTGCATTAAGATAATTATCGAATTATCTTTTGACTTGGAGCTTCTCAAGTTATCTTGCTCCTTGTTAGTCTGCTATTTTCTAGAAGTTAGAAGTCATCACTCATTATAAAATCAAAAGCTCAAGTTCATTTAGTTAAACTTAAACTCCTCTTCTTCCTTAAATATCATGCATTAAAATTTAACTTTAGTGAATATGGCTTTAGGTTTAGCCCCAGAATATTGAATGGGATCAGTGATGTCAAACTCATTTCTTAGAGGAAAATACTGTATAGAGATACAATGCACATTGTGTAACTGAAAGATCACCTTTCAGAAATATAATCCAAATGTGAATTTGATTTCTTTAGCTAAACCTCATAATGTTAAATACTGGCTTAGAGCTCTAACGAATCACTGTAGACAAAAACATTTAATTTGGTCTCCAACATTTATTGCATTGACACCAACAGATTTAACATCTCCACTGCTTTTAAGAAAGTATTTGACTTTAAGTTAAGTGAATTGATACTCTGACTCATTCATTTTAGATTTTTGATTACCGGGTACCAGTATATTAAAAAATTTCGGTGAATAGTAGAATGTTGTTATAAATATAACAATTATTTGAAAACGTATGGTAAGACACAGCTGATTCCTACCAGTGTATCTAAAGAAAACTTATTTTATTACTTCAATGATTATTCCATTTAATAAACCTATTCAGAATCACAATGGTTAAGACACAGTCCCTTTACCTCTTTATTTGTTAACAGTGAAAGATTTCTATTCAGCTGATTTTTTGGGCTTCCCTTTGTTCCTTCGTGCATTAGGGCCTCACAGAGCATAACTATGTTATTGTTGAGTTACATTGTGATAGTCAATACACATGGTTTTCCAACATCTAAAACTGTCAAGTTTTGTGATGCTTTATTTCTTTTAAATGTATGAGAAGCGTATCTCTTTTAGGCTTAGTCTAGTTTCAGAATATTAAATAAGAAAAAACCTCTACTAAAAACATAAAACTGCACTAAGCATTTCTTGTGTGCCAATGCAATAAAAAAAAATATATCTTCATGAAACCAAGTACAGAAGATGAATGTGCCAAAGAAAATAAATGTGTCCTATAATCTTTAGTTTTTCTTAAGTCCTATTTTAAAGAAACCAAACTGATTTTAATTGGGTCCGTTTTAGAAAGGGGAAATCACAGGCTCATTCCTACACACAGGGCACACTACAGATGAAATCATTTTCTATAAAATAATAAATACAAATATTTGGTGTTCTAAACTTTTCATTTTTTCTGGCAGAAAGAAATCCCAGCGTAGCCACCCCCCCCCCCCCCCCCCCCCCCCCCCCCCCCTTTAGAGTCCTGGACTATTGATGCTAATTAACATTTTAGTACATAATTTTTTTTTTTTTATTTGCTAAAAACTACACTGATTCAGCAGCAGGCTTACTTTTAAAAGATTCTTAAACATCATAATACACGTTGGCTGCCTTTTCAATGTAAACAAAAAAAATACTCAAGATTTTCTAAAATTTAGAATTGAACACAAGCTATTGCTTCTCTCTGTTGAGCTGCCTTTGAAATAAGCACTCTCAAAATAGTTATGGATGAAATTTCCTTCATTTCAGCTTTCTTGCAATGTTCAACCTTGATATTTATGGGACATCACCTTTTGATTTCCTCCTTTGTTTAACTTAAATCCCTGTTGTGTTGCTACTTGCTTGCACTCAAATCTGTTACTTCACCAATGTTTTTGTTACAAAAAGTTACAAGACAACTGGATTCCTGGGTGGTATTTGCTTCAATGATTGCTGTTACTTTTTTAAGTCACTGATCTGTAAATTACATTACAATTCCAATGTTGAAAACTTTTTTTGCCTTTTAATAAAGAATTCTCTTGATGCACAAAAAAATATTTGCATTTTTTCAATTCATTGTTTATATTATAATACAGGCCTACTGAATGTGCAATACAAACCTGTCTACTTGGAGGGTCAACAACAGTGTTGTAAACACACCCAGGCCATCAGCTAAAATGCCTTTTAAATGTGTCCAAAATCATCAGAAGTATCAAACTTTTCAATCCAATAAAATAGCTCAAGAATGCCTAAATTGGCAGCCAGCACATATTTCATACTATTTGCAAGTCTGAGATTTGTAACTTTTGCAGTCGATTTAGTTAATGTCTCCTGATTGTTTCTAAAACTGTTATAATATGAGATTAGTGAATAATAAATAGATTTACAAAGTTACTTGGCAGTTTTTGAAAGGGCACATTATTCATCGGCAGTCTTTCAACCAGGGGTCTCATACTCGCGGTCCGCGGGCCATTTGCAGCCCGCAAGACGATATTTTGTGGCCCGCTACCTGACAGCAACATTTAGTATTAATGCGGCACGCCCGTTGTCCACATTCTCAATACTATAATGTGACCCTCTGCAACGATTTCAATCGAATCTCATCGAGTTTAATTCTGATTTGTATTATCTTTATATGAAAACCTATAGGTTTTGAAGTGATTAAAATGGTAAAAACCTTTCAAAATCGGACTAAAAGGTTTTATTTGATAGCATTTTAGGAGACGAACATGGCCAAAGGACCTGCTTTAACCCATAAAGTGTTGAAATTAACTTACATAGTGGGTCAAGGTCTAAGTGTTGCTTTATGAAATATATTGAAGTTTGCCTTTACATTCAACAGTTAGAAAATGAATTTCAACAAGTTTTCAAATATCTGCAAGCTCTGACCCAACATGACAACACCTAACAGTAACAGTGTTTAAAAAAAACCAGTGTGTCGATAACATTGTTCAACCTGCCAGATGTGATGCTATAGTGGAAGTTGTACAAAATGTTTAAAGCAAGGAAATCGTAGCCTATCGAAATTTAAAAGAAAGTTAACAAAAAATTTCAATTATAATCATTTTCAATTTAATTCACACAAAGAATCATGAACAAACATTTTAAAATGTCACACAAAAAAATAGACAAGAACTTTATAATTTAAAAAAATTCATCCATGTTTCTTCAAAAGGGGGATCCTAAAGTTCTTTCACTAATTCAAGCAATTTCTCATACTCTTTGGGTACATTTTTTAAAACTAAACAACTGCACATACATTTTCACACGTCCTCTTGCAAGTTAAAGCAATAAAATCAATATTTACAACAGTTTCTTTGATCAGTCTAGTTTTTCATCATTTACATTCCTCTCAGTTGAATGAATTTCACTGGTAGCTTCACCAGCTCCCGGACTCACAACTGAAAAGTAAGAAAACAATTGAGTAAACATAAGTGGTCAAAATGGTTGGTGGCAAAAAGTGTTTGGTGGTGAAAAGTGGTTCATTCTTTCATCTCTTGACCAGAAAACAAAAAGTTTGGAAATAATGAAAACAGACATAGAATTGAATAATATAATTTGATTACAATGTACTTCTGTGATACATTTATGCCTACCTTTATAAATGAATCAATCAAATATCTTTATTGTCATTGATTTAAATCTAATAAGATTAGAATTTTAAAAAAAAAAACTAATTGGAGGAATCTTCCAAGCAATTTGTTTAAAAAGCATAGAGTGAACATTCATCCTGTTAATCAAATTTGATGCATGTTATCGTAACTCTTTTCATTCCTCCTCTACAGAGAGCGTAACTTTATATATGCAGGTTATTTTCGCTTATAAAATGTTGCCTTTTGTAATTTTTTGAAGTATGCTATATAATAATTATTTCATCCAACGATTTGAAGAAAAATATTTTAAAAAATAAAATTAAAAGATTTTTTAATAATTTTGATGTTTTTTGAGAGGTTGAGATTCATGTGACATGCCCAAACGAGAGTCGCCATCTTAGGCACATTTTTCATACTCTTTGTCAGCATGACAGTGCAGAGTCTTGAATAATTAAAATTACTTGAGCAAATATCAATTTTCATCTGAATCTCAAGGAGAAGATAGTTGGGAACCTGAATCAAGTGATTCTGATGAGAATTTTCATTCTCAATCCATTTACTTGTTAATACCAGAAGATCAGTAATGGAGTGTTTCATCAATTTATATTTCTTTTTGAGGTGTTTTTTTTTTAGGTTTAATTTGTGTTTTTAAGCCTATAACTGTCAAGAACATGTCTCTTTAGTGTGAAGCCATTTTTAGCATTTTCATTTGCTTGTCAAAAATGACACCAATCCCAAAACTAAATGAATTCAGAGACCTTTGCAAGTAGACATTTTCTGAAAGTAAAAGGACAAGGTATCTTATGGTATGAAAAGAATTTTTTTGCATATGAAGGGCTGAGTAGAAAAGTACTTAAGTGTATTTTTGCAGTTTTGAGAAAAATTAGTTCTAAGTTTTTAAATTCTTATTTAAATACATTTAAATTTGCTTGATTTAGCTCTGAATGAAACACTTATGTACATTTTTCATGAATGGTATTTACAGGAATGATTCAGGCGAAGTAATCAGATATAATGCCAGGCTTAACTCGTTTTTGAAAAAGTGTAACTTAGGTACTTTTTCCACTCGGCCCTTCACATTAAGTATGTTGATACTGACCTTGACCTTTACAGGGAATACAATTTTAATACTCAACTTCTGAATTCAACACACCTTAAATACTCCATAAATTGATCAAACTATCATGAAAATCACATTTTTTAGAAACCAGAAGCAATATTCTTTCAGAAATTTATAGTTACTTATATTGAAAATTGTGATATTGGGGAATTTTTTTTATTCCCTACCTTCCGATTCCTGTCATACAAGATGCCAGGGGGGAAGGCGAGAAATGATTTCAAAAATACCTTTCCAATTGAAGTTATTAAATACATTTTTTATTAATTAATATTCCAGAACATAAACATCTTGGGGGTAAGTCTTTGGGATCCAATATGTGTCTTTTTCAGTTTGATTTCCACCCTTTCCCAAACGAATTTGAAACAATGTGACTAAGCTTAGGGATAAAATTGTCAATATCTGACTGTTACGACAACACCGCGAGAGCTAACACCTGGAATATCTCAGAAATCATTGCTTTCATTAAAATAATTCAAATAAATAAATACTGTGTTGATTTTGCAACCTAGAGAGGGGCCCTCATATATTATGGCGGTAAAAAAAGTAGAGAAATTTTCACACCCGATTAATCACAAAAAAAGGAAGTAAACACACAGATAGTAACGGAAATAGGAAGCAAACTCATTTATATAGAGTGATTTCCAAAACAATATAAATAAAATCATTCGCATTTTTAATGAATATTTTGCTGGCGGTCAATTATATCAGCCGTGATACCACAGAAAGGAGTATAATGGCAGATTATCGGCCGTTATGACAGTTTAAGGGTTCAATGAAATAATGTATGTAAAATTATTTTATAATATGAAAATATATTATTACTTAGATAATTTGTGAGCTCATTATGCTTAGCAATTGTTGCCAAGGAATGTAAACAATGCAGTTGTTAATACTTTTGATATAATTCATCCTAACAAGACATTTGACCCCAGTGTGTGTCGTAGCACCAGTTTGAGCATGATCAATTTAATAGGAAATATAAAAAGGAACTTTTAGGTCAACTAGGTAATTTTTAAAAACCGTGTCTAAAAACCACTATATAACCATTTTTTCCTAACCCAAAGAATATTGTTTTCTGCATCTGTTAACATTTTTACATGATCAATAGTACCCAACAGTCAGTCCAAGTGTGCTGAGTTGCAGGCAGAAAAACAGCTGCACAACAATTGCATTATGCAGACCTGTTTACCCTCAAACTCCTAAAATCGTACGATATCGTCTCAAAATCGTACAATACAGGAAACAAAATTATAAGAACCACTGGCGTAGCCCAACGAAATATGCATCACACGCGCGCTGAACACTCATGACTAAACACAACTGTAACTTCTCTACTACTGCTAGCGAGTTTATTGGTGAAAATACATCTTGACAACATCACCGCAACAATTCCTACAAAACATTAGGTGGTATTTTACAGCATTCGAGATATAAATAGAATGCTATTTTTGGACTTTCAGAGTTAGGAGATGAATATTGTAGACTTTTTAAATAACGTACGTTCTTTCTGCCGAGGATCAGCCCCCCCCCCCCACCTGTCATTACGGAAATGTCACGGTGTTGATTGTATAGATTTAAGTATTTAGACCCACGCCAAACCCAAATTTTCCTAAATCAAAGAATGCTATTTTTGGACTTTCAGAGTTAGGAGATGAATATTGTAGACTTTTTAAATAACGTACGTTCTTTCTGCCGAGGATCAGCCCACCCCCCCACCTGTCATTACGGAAATGTCACGGTGTTGATTGTATAGATTTAAGTATTTAGACCCACGCCAAACCCAAAATTTCCTAAATCAACACCACTCCTTTGGTCCATGATAGATTGTTCATGAAAAGTCCGACTTGCAGATTGTGTAATTGTGCAGTGCGCGCATGATGGACCATTCGACAAAGAACGCAAACCAGTCAATTTAGTCTGATATTCAAGCAAGACTATCTGCTGATAAACTTTCTTTTTCTTTTGTTGAATGGGATGTTTATCGGTAGAGAGAGAAGTTTCTTCTTCATCACCCATTCCGCGAGCCTTTCTTTTTGTCGAGGTCATATCGTAAAATACTGAGTGAGGTCAACTACGGAACCGAAAACAAGAATTATTGCAGATTCCATTAATGATAATGGTAACATTAAAATCACGCAATGTGCACAAAGGTCAATGCAGCCAAATTCTAGCGCCAGAGCTGTTTGGACAGCCCATATATAACATTTCAAATAAAAATGAAAAAGTTAACAATGATTCATACCTCGCCCCCCCCCCCCCCCCGCACGCCCTGTCAACTTAAAGGGCCATCCAAATATTACTTACTCGCTGAGGATGCGTTTTGATTGAGTGGGGGGGCACCAGAATGCACCTACATATATGCATAAATTCTACAATAATTATCCTGATTCCTGACAGTCTCTTATAGAGCCAACTGTCACGTGAAAATCTGTGAAATCCACAAATTCTAATTAGGTCTATTATTATTATTAAGGCTCTACAAATATCACCACAATGCTTCGCATTTATCATATACCGTATACTAGTGCTTTGTGTTTTCATAAAGAGGTCGCTGTAGTAGTCATATTAAACACGACATAGTGATAACACACTAGTCCACTAACACGTATTTCCATGCTGGTGACGAACCCACCTTCCCCCACACTCATTAATAGGAAAAACATAGTGCCCTCGCCTATCCAATATGCCCCTGAGTTTTTACGTTCACATACTAAATAGCATTGGTCAGCATACTCATTGGTCAAAAGAGCCCAAATCACCAGCAGGACCATTAAACAAATTTTGCGAGCCAAATTTATTTTCAAGAACCTGTCAAGGACCATGTTTTTCGGAGTAAAAACTGCTTTGTAGTTGACTGGCCGAGCCGCGGCTTGCCGACCACTGCTATAGTATCAGAGACTAGTAACTACCACAAGCTGTAAACAAAAATAGGGGGGGGGGGGGGCACAGTAGTAGCAGTAGTGATACAAAACTGTTTTATTGTATTAAAATCGTTGAGGGGATAGAGTCAGAGGCGTAGCGAGGGTGTTTGGCGCCCGGGGACAAGATCCATTTTAAAGTGCCCCTTTTTCTTTTTTTCAACTCTCAAGCCCATTATTTTCATCAATAAAATAATATCAAAGCACATTTTGGCGCCCCTAAACAGGGTTTCTTTCAGCTATATCTCTGGGAGGGGGGGCAGTGCCCCTCCCCCGGGGAAAGCCAAGTGCCCCCAGGAGCAAAAATATGTCCAACAATAAATCAACTGGAACTGCTGGCACTGCCCCCCCCCCCCCGAAAAATCTGAAGTACCCCTTCCCCGAAAATCTGAAGTGCTCCCCCCTGGGGAAAATTTCTGAAAGAAACATGCCCCCAACTAGCTGGCGCCCGGGGAATCTGTCCCCTCCTGCCCCCGCTTGCTACGCCTCTGGATAGAGCTGCTTTGCGAGATCTAAAATATTTTTTTTAATGCCACTGACTAAATCTCACACCTCTAGTTTTCTCTCTTCACAATCCCCGCGGTTCAGACGAACACACGCTTGCTAGCAGTAGCAGTCCAATGAGGTGGTGAGTGAAGTTGTTGCCAGGCGACTAGCCTAAAGATTGCTGCTGACACAGCTGGCTAGTTCACTGTGACACGCAAAGCAACACTAAGACAATCACCACCATCAATAGGATGCGTTGCAGTGATATTTTTATATCTTTTGAAACTCCCACCTTCCCCCCCCCCAACCCGTGTTTCTGGTATGCCACCAATCTCTTTAATCAACAACCGCCACCTCCCCTTTCAGTGCGTATATAATATAATGAAGGATGGTCAAACTATAAAAAAATATACAAAAACCCATCGTTTTTCTGGGTCCATTCAATGCGGGGCCATAAGGGCTAAAGCTTCCACAACCGAAAATGTTTAAATTTTTTTTAAATCGGACAAAATTACACAAATATTTTTTCACTGAGTCTCTGAAAATCGTAGTTTTGGGGGTCTCGGCGTACAATCGTAAAAGACATCTAAAAATCGTAAGAGTAAACAGGTCTGCATTATGTCATGGTCATCTTACTTAAATAACAGAATTCCCTAATTCATACCATACAATTCCTTGTCTCATTAACTTTCAGAATATGAGTACAGGCCCCTGGATTCATGTTGTTAAAGAGTTTTTTTGTAAAGAAGAGATAAATTATTTGAGAGATGCAATCAATACCATTATGATAAATAAATCTACCTGAAATCTCCTGATTATCCACATATTTAGAGGCAGCTTCTGTAGTCTCCTCATCATCTGATATAATTCCCTGGTAAACAGAGTCAACATTAAGAATGAATGATGTAATCATTGACAAATAGGCATCACAAGAAATTCAATCTCTTATACAAGTTAATGTTCTACTTCTACAATTGTTTTTCTCAAATTAAAAGATATGATGTGTGTAGTAAAAAAATTTAGATGTAACTTCATCTATTGATGATCTAATAGGCCTTTCAAATGTTTAATAATGAAGTTGGAAGCACATCGGTATACAAATTATTAGATAACTATAAAATGTGATAAAACTCTGTAAAAACAAACTGAAAATTACTTAAGAACTGGAACAGATTTATTTCTCACTCAAATATTAATATATATAATCATATATACCTTTTACTTTAATCAATAATAATTTTTAAAAATTGTTCTTAAATATAGCAATAAACAATAAGAATTCTAAAAGTGTTAACTAAATGCCCGTATACATGTATATTTTCCTCCTAAACCATGACAAATTTTTTCTGAAAGTTTTATAAAAAAGTTTACACTATGAATGTTAATAGTCATTTAAAGTCACTAAGATTAAATCTATCACAGAGGCAAAGTGGATTAAACTGCAAAGCTTACTGACATTATTACAGTCTGTCACTGGTAAACTCGAAGTCGAACATACATATGTGTTTTATTTATTTTTACCCAAACCTTTTAGTTTACTTTGTTTACATATGCGCTATTTAGAAGTGCACTTGTTAGAATTTAACACAAGGAGCCTGGTTAACGGATAAATTTGGCATGGACGCCGAGAAATGAACATTTTAGAACCACTGGCATGGTCCAACAAAATTGAAGTCACAAAGGGGTCACAAGCACGCTGAAGACAGTGAACTAAATATTACTGTGATACCGCTACTACTGAGTACTAATCTTAGAATAGCTAGCGAGTTCATTTATGAAAATACATTGTAATAATTCCTACCAAACATTGCCATAAATATGCCATGTTTATTGGACTTTCAGGATGAATATTGTAGAATTTTTTAATAACTTACGCCCCCCCGCCCCCCCAATCATATGAAAATGTGACGGGGTTAATTTTAGATACTGACATATTTCAGACCCACCCCACCCCCAAAATACAAAATCTCCTAAGCCTAAATCAACACCACTTTATTCCCCTCTAAGGAAAAACGTAATATAATTATAGATGGTCCACGACTAATCAAAATTCTCGATCCATTCACTGCTGGATGTAGACTGCAAATGCAAGTTAAAACTAATAACCAAAGAAGTACTTTTTAATTATTATATATTTTCATCGGGGAAAAAACTACAGGAATGTATATATTTTCAACCCGGTCTCCTAAAATTGTAGTTCTGACGGGTCTTGGCGAGCAATCGTAAAAGACATCTCAAAATTGTACACCAAAATTTTAAGAGTAAACAGGTCTGCTTGTGGCAAAGCATGTTCAGGTTTGTGATAAGTTGAAAGTAATTATTGTAAAATCCAGCACAAATACCTCCAACATTTCTTTTAAAGACTCTGCTTGAGATGCTATGACAGATAATCTTCTGTTTTCCTCTCGGAGTTGATCTACTTCAGCTGTTAACTGTTCCAAAATTATTACATTTACAACAAACTTTTTTTCACAATATTTAATAATTATAAGATTTAAATAAAATGTCAAGGATAAAGTTTTTATTTAAATGTAATGAACTTTAGAGAGTGCAGCTCAAATTTGACAAATGGTCTACAATAAAAAGGTACTTCATTTATTCTTTTTTTTCATTTTGGGTTGTAAAATTTAAAAAAAAAACACACAAATAAAATAAACAAACAAAATAAGACCATTAAGAATAGGATATAATAGGACAAAAATCATTCATAAAAAGCAAGTTCATTGTAAAAATGAGTGAATTTAGGATCAAGGTTGCAGTCAATGAAATAAAAAGCAATTTTTTTTAACCCTTTCCACTGCAACTGGGTGTTATACACCAGGAGACAGACAGTGATTGCTGATATCGAGTCTCCTTTTAATAATCTTTCTCAAACTACCTAATCCACAAGGTAATTGGGATGAACTCCTTGGTGCATGCAAGTGTATAAAACATGCAAAAGTGACTTATTTTTTGGGGCCTAATATTTTTTTCTAGTCTCCGGCAACAGGGTGCAACACACCCGAAGATATTTTAAGAGAAGAAAAAAAAAAATGTAAAATGGCTTATGAACATTTTTGTTTGGTTGTTGTTTTTGGATTATTTGAGCCTGTAATCCTTGCCATAAAATAGATTTTAAATATTGACAATAACAAAAATATTCTGAAAACATTTTAGTACCAACAATAATAGCATGTGTTCAACTTGAAAAAACATATGCAAGCAGAACAGTCAATGTACACATGGAAAGTAGGGGCTTTGCAGCTCAGCTTGCACAGTTTTTACATAAAAGAACCAAATATGTCTAATAAACTTGCTGAGATGAAGTGGTTTGGGTAACTGTTTGAAGTGTCTGCAAAGATTTAAAAACACTGGCGATGTTCTGCCTCACAATATCTTGATGCGTCGGGACGGATTGCCTCAACTTGCGGAAAGGTGAGGAAATGTGCAACATCAGTACTGAATGTATGTTGTCTTCATGAATCAGTAGTGAGTTAGTTGGATAATTATATTAAATGTCACTCTTGCTGCAATTGATGCCAAGTCAACAATGTTGAAAAACACAACCCAAAGGCCATCTTTTACACTTTTGCATTCACTGAGAACATCTTCGCCATTTGGTCCATGGTGAATATGACTCCTTTTATTTTGTTATTATAGAGCACAATCTTTGGTTTCTTGCATTCATTTTCAGTTTCTATGGCTGGACGGTTGTGTATTGTGTTCAGCAGCAATATATTTTTCTGCCTCGAAATCTGGTATTTGACAAGGTTGTTTCTAGTCTGAAAAAAAACCAACTGATTTGTTGAGAGGCAGAGCCTTCTTTTGCTCAAACCCCTTGGGTAGGAAATCTTGTTCCGTTTCCCTGTTCTAACTAGGGCAAGTCTGTTCTTGGCCATTGGTTCTGCAAGTTATAAGGGAATAAAATAATGTCTGTTCTGAAATTGCAGCCACTTCCATGGAAGTCCCTTGTGAGAGAAATCACAGTCTCTGGGGATATTCCAACATTTCTCTTTGCTGGAAGGCACTTGCGTTGTCTTAGTTGAGATATGGGCAGTCTCTCAGAGAATAGTTCGAGGACGATTCAAAGGCCAAGAGCATTTTTATTCCATATTTGTCTGGCTTGCTTGGTATATATTGAATAAATCTGCACCGACCTTGAAACCAACCAGTTGCTCACCTCCTGTGATGTTTTCTCCAGGAACATAATACCTCACCAAATTACTCAGGAATGCTTCTCATACATCTTTTATGGGATCAAAGATGTCACGAGCCAGAAAGGATTGATTTACTATCCTTGTTAAAGCAAATATGAATAAGAAGTTTGCTGAATCTCTTTATTGAAAATGCTTCCCTAAAAAGAGGATTTCCATCAACATGTCTGAATAAAAATTCCACTTTAGGTGAAGAGTGCCAGTGTGTAGTAGGCAGCCAATAATAGCTTTCATTCCTTTGCCATTTGACTCCTTTTACTTTCTCACCTTCCTTGTTGGTGCAGTCAACTATCGTTTGTATCAATTTTTCATTAATCTACAGAAGAAATGCTTCAATGGGAGATACTGCACAATCTGTGAAGGGAGTTCAGTTATATGGCAACTAATCATGCCACATTGTAAAAAATAAAATAACATAAAGAGAGCCATTTAATGTGATATAAGACTATGGGTGTAACCCATCCAGTTGCCAGGAATCTCCAGAAACACCTTTTCCCTTTAAATAAGTGTACAGTCACTAGGAACAGGGTATACAATATGTTGCAGCAGAAAGGGTTAAAGCCCAACAAATCGATTTAGGCTGACTAAATTTTAAAGTATTTTAAGAACTTTTTGAGCAATTTAAGCAAGATACATTGTTATAAAAAGTTTGAAAGATTTGGCCACAAAACCATTCAGTACTTCTATAGCCAAGCTTCAAGAAATTAACGATAAAATCTTACATTTATCTGGCCCATTTGATTCAATTAAAGAATATCTTTCTCACAATTATTCCCCCCCCCCACCCCCTTCCTGCTCTTCTATAACATATAGTCCAAATATATACCAAGATAAATGTCCATTTTTATTTGTGATTGTACCTTCTCATTTTCAGCCATGGTTTCTATTAGAGCTCTTCTTCTTTCCTCAGCTAAATCTTTCCAATAAGACTCTGACACCTCCCCTGCAAAAATTCAAGTCAAGATTAATGATAAAAGTGTCAATTTATTTCTTGCTACAATTGAAAATAAAGTAACGTTTCAGCAATGATAAAATTGTACTGTACTTAATTTCTTTCCAGCTTTATTTTCAGTAAAATTATAAGAGAAAATCAAACACATGAAATTACTATTAATCACTTCCTTTCCGTTCTTCTGAACTTTATTTTGTCAGGGACTGGCGTCCACTCTTATTCTTTTCTCTCACTTTAGGTAGGATACATTTATATATATATTATGTAAATTTAATTTACACTTATATGAATGTTGTTGTTTTTTTGAACTAATGCAGGCATTAACGCTTACATTTGTATTCAGTATCATCATTATTAAAGCTGAACTTATATTGTTTGATTGACACAAATTGATAGTGTCTAATTAATCTAATCGCTAATAAACATTAACTTAAAAGTTGTCAAAAATTTCTCTTTCTTTTCTCAACGGGGAACAGTTTAATTTATAGACCAGTATATTGTTACAGTGATTTTATATTTACTTGGGAGAATGCAACATCTCAAAAACTTTCAAACCTTTAGTCACCAGATCTAAAGTATCCTGGTCAATATAGGCAGACAAGCGACCACTGTCATCTGGGTCACCAACTTCTCCTTGAAGATGTTTCTGAATCAGATCTTCAAGTAGTGAAATATCTGTTTGAGTGTTTCTGTGACAATGAACAATGGCACTGTTTTCTGGCATGATGGAGTCTTTATAGATGTGCACTGAATGTGGGCTTGAATGAGTTGATGGCTCATTGTAATACAGTTTAGTCTTCAGTTTCAACTCCTAAATGTAGCAACGAGGTGACATTAACATACCATGAAGATGTGTCGACGGGAATTTTTTTTCCATATTTAATTGATTTTACAATGCAATGTGATTTTAATTCAATCTATATAACTAAATTACAATAAAATTTTTGCAACATCTTTTTTATTGCAGAGTTCTTTTTTTTAAATATCTAGTAACCCCTATTTAAATACATTTGATAATCACTGGCTTGACAAAAGCGATTTACATTGCACTTATTATTATGTGAAATCTTTACACTAATTAAATATTTACTTGAAAGAAGCCTGCTGTACCAATTTTAATGAAATTTATGTCATCTCATTTTCATAGTCATTTAAATAAATTACCAAAACTCACCTTAGATCCTTTCAGCTGAGAAGCCAAAGTCTGACCTCCATAGTTTGGGTCTGATGCTGTGTGTTGTATAGTTTGTAAAGTTTTCCTCTCATGTCTGGCCTATTTCAGATAAAATTATACAAAAAATGAGTAAATTGCAGCAATTATAAAAAACAAAAAACAACGCAAAATTTTAAAAAATAGGAACATAAAAAAAAACCCACAAAATGTTTAAAAAATTGTTTGTGGTCATAGAACCGGTAAATAAAGAGTTAAGACAAAGATTTTCCATCATCAATGTCAGTAGGAATCTAGTGCACAGCACACTTCAACTAAAACTATGAGAAAATAAAATGTTTTATTCCTGGGTTAAAGTTCAAACCTTGTTTTTTCATCTATGTTATGTAGCATATGGGATTGCTTTGCTTATAAAAAGTTAATATGTTTCACTGTAAATTACATAGGATGGTATCATTATTGAGCCTTTCAGAAATCAGATTTTTTTTCCACTGAGACTGATTTATCATTATAATCATAGCATTCCTTGATCATGATTAAGCTAATTTAAAAAAAGAGAAAACAGGATATCTCTTCATAAAGCCATTAGCTAGATCATAGACACAAATGAAATATCTAGGCTAAGTAAGTGAAGGTAACTTGTGGATTTCATATCATATGGGTTAGCCCAGTGTTTGGCAAACTCAGTCAAAGAGCCAAAAATCGCCAGGACGATTTAACATTTTTTAACAAATTTCTCTTTAAGAACCTGTCAAGAACCCTGTTTTTTTTAGTCAAAATCGATTTGTGGTCTTGTATTTTAACCCACGAACTGTGGTCGGCCTTCTCGTTCTGTATTGTGGCAGCCGATAAAAAACACGGTCCGATAGCAACTTTCAATCCAATATTTAACCGGAATTATAGCCACTTCCTATTATTAATAATTAAATCATCCTCTGGTTTAAGCTGTTTCGTGATAACTTGAAAATAAATACTTTTTAATCAGAGTTTTATATCGCTGTTTTTTTTTCAAGCTAAAATGGTTGAAGGGCCGGGCCTTCAGAGCAAGAAAAAAATCAAAATATGTTTGAAAGCTTTTTAGGAGAGGGTTTAAGTGATACTGATGATGATTTTAACATTCCCCATGATGGTATCAGACTCAGTTTAGATTATTCTTCTTGTGAATTTTATACTAGTCTTAATGATACTGAAATAGGCCTACTGAGGCTACTGTTAGACTTCGAGCCAGGCCCGGAGATTGGGCAGGGACTGACTGAATTTTAGTCACAGAAGCTACAGATTATAGCTCGGAACTAATAAATTTTATAGTTAAACAACCCAAATCAGTTCCACAGTTCCTTTTTAAATGTTTACTAGTCAATAATAACTATTTTGCCTGAGATTTTGTATTTTGTACTTGGTTTTAGCAGTGGTCCCAGTTTCTTGTATAAATGACCTAAAATTACTAAAATTGCTTTCATAGGTTTAATTGCAATCAAAACCTGAGCAAACTATAGATTTTCTTAAAGATAAATGAATTGGCTACAACATTTAGATTGTGTTTTAAGTGTATCTATAAAAATTAATGATGTTTTGAGCACTTGAAAGCAAGACATTTTGTCGATTTTTTTTTCTTGAGAACTCCAAGGTCAAGGACACTGAGCAAAATTTTCTTACAGGGTGGGCAATATGGCCAACGTTATCCCCATCCATTTACTTTTCTAAAAATATATACTTATAGGGGTCTTGTATCAATATTTCTATGTCATTTAATGCAATTTCAAATGGCACTCAAAATGCTCTGAAAAACTCCACACCACAGAATGATGCATGCCACAGTTCGTGGGCTTAAAAATCATTTCATATTAACCCTAAGTGGCCCTCAGATTATTAATGAAAGACAAAGAAAAAAATCTATATGCATATTACGTGATGAGTAGTAAGGGCAAAGCGCGAGAGGCATAATTTGCTACGGGTAGAGAATGATGCTTCCGTCCATGCACATTAGGGATAAATGGTTGAATTTTGCCTTAGCGACAACAACAAAAATTATTATTAATTATAAAAATTAGGCAGTTTTATTTTTTAAAATAGCTTTAGTAGTTTTTGAGCTATGAACTAATAAAAAAGTAAATAAAAATGTGAGTTCATTTGTCCTTTTTTAAGGTATATTGCATTTTACAATGATAACTATGAATGTACTAGTTGTATGGAATGCACCACCTCATTTTGAGATCAAATTCTGTTGATTGTAGTTGTACATAATACTGCATTTGTGATTTAGACTACCGAAAAAAAAATGTTTTTTAAATACTTGTTAAATTATACTTTCGCTTCATAAAAATATGAATTTAATTTAGCAAAATAATCTTTATCATCGGATCATCATTACAATAATACAAGAGTGCAGAGGTCAAAGTCAATATCCTATTAACTCAATAGTATTTGGTAAAAATAAGAACCAATGAACTTTCATTATTCACCGTTTCATTGATGTTGACATCCCGTTGACCTTTTTGTTGTACATATTATTACATGCAGATTAGGGGTGTGCCGGAATCCGGTCCGGAATCTGGTTCCGCCGGATTTTGAACTATCCGGTGAAATCCGGTTCCGCCGGATTTACATGTATCCGGAACAACCGGATTCCGGAATATACCGGATTTCGGAATTTGCCAGATTTTGTGACTCACCGGATCATAATCTGAAATAAAAGTAATTCTCTTTCCCGAATTCCACACAATCACGATACATTAATCGATTGTTTCGAGCGTTGAGCTTGTTTAATGTTTAATATTCCGTACATACCAGAGGCTAGAGTCAGCACCGCTAATAGTGGCCAATAGTGTAGGGACTTTGATAAGAAAATTTAAACTTTTTGTAAAAATAAACCAATGGCATAGTTGAAAAGATGTAATTTTTTAAAGAATTATAACACCAAAATCATATTTTTAGCTGTTGTAGTTTTAAAGTTATGAATTTTTAAAGTACGACTTGGTTTGTCATTTTTTAACATGGACTGCATCTCCACATTCTGTGATCTCATTCCGCCAATCCCGTCATGCGCAATGACTATATAGTTTATATAAGGCAACGCATTCCCTGCCTTATCACTAAAATACTGTTTAGACTTAGTTTAAACTTTCAACTTTGGCACATGAATAATTAATTAAAGCTTTCCCTGACCAATGGTTTAATAGTTTTTGCACACGGCAAACTCTTATGAATGAAACTCTGAGGTAGTACTACGATACAGTTATGCAAGTGGCTGTGAATGGTTGCCAATGACAACGTGTTGCACACGGTAAATTCTGATCATTTATAATATGGATTCTACCGGGTTGTTAAAGCTCAAATTAAAACATTCCAGTTTAAATGTCTTTAAATGCATTCTGAAACACAAGTTATCAATTATTTTGATGTAAATAGTGATAATAAATTAATATTTCCTAAGTATCGTCAACTTCCGCCATTAAAAAGGGGGGCGTGGCCAACCCCATGGCGAAATTAGGTTGAGCGAGCTGCATGACCTGCTGCGAACGCGTAGAAACATGGCGTCTCTCGAAAGACACTTATCCAAATGGAACGGAACTCAAATATATATCGAAAGTACTAATTTAATAATAAATAGACACACACATCGGAAAATTAAAAACTCGGATTTTTTGGCACCGATTGCGAATTCCCATACACAAAAAGTAGTAGTCCACCTTGACTTACCGAAGTATCTACCAATAGTACCAAAATCCGGAATCCGGGAGAAACCGGAATCCGGATTATTCCGGAATCCGGATCCGAAGGATTTCGCATAAGAAAATCCGGATCCGGTTGGAAAAAAACGGATCCGGCACACCCCTACTTTTGATGATTCATACTCATCTTTTAACCCTGCTGTCCATCCCAAGCAAAGTATTCAACAGAATACTACTTAACAGAATGAGGGAGGCAATGGATACCCATCTTAGGGACCAACAAGCAGCTTTTTAGAAAAGACAGATCCTGCACCGACCAGATGGCATACTGTGAATTATAGAGGAACAATCCCTGGGGTGGAACTCGCTACTATACATCAACTTTATTGACTATGAGAAGGCTTTTGATAGTGTAGACAGACAGACTCTGTGGAAGCTGCTAAGACACTACGGGGTATCACAAAAATTGACGGACGTAATTAAGGCTTTTTATGAAGGACTGTTGTGCAGAATTGTTCATGGCCAACAAACAACTGCGGCTTTTTGGATACAGACCGGTGTCAGACAGGGGTATCTACTCTCGCCTTTCTTATTCCTGCTGACCATTGATTGGATAATGAAAATGTCTACAGAGCAGAAGAGAAATGGTATTCAGTGGACACTATGAAAACAGCTTGATGACCTGGATTTTGCGGATGATCTGGCCATAATAGCACACACGGAGCAACAGATGCCAGAGAAAACCAATTATGTATCATAGTACTCTGCTTGCATGGGCCCGAACATCCATTGAGGAAAAAGCAAAGTCCTTAAAATAAAATAAATACATCAAGCAACACACCTAAAGTCTATAGTACTGGAAGGAAAAAACCTTGAGGAGGTGGATAGCTTAACAGTACATACCTCGGCAGCATCATTGACATACAAGGAGGGTGAGACGCCGACATTAGAGTGAGAATTGGCAAGGCAACAACTGCATTTAACCAGCTAAAAAAGTCTGGAGCTGCAGCAACTTGATCCTCCAGATCGAGGTCAGGATATTCAACACCACAGTGAAACCTGTCTAGCTATAAATGGCCAAATGGCTATATGAAGCAGAAAAAATGGCGAACAGCAGCTAGTTCAAAATAGCTACAGACGTTAATCAACTCATGTCTCCAAATGATTCTAAGAATCTGCTAGCCCAATGTCATCACCAAGAGATCTCTGGCGCCGCACACAACAAGAACCAGTGGAAGAGTTACATCCAGTTTCATGAGACAAGCTCTTACTTGGAACCCCCAGGGCAAGAGAAAAAGAGGTCGACCCAAAATGACTTGGAGAAGGTCACTAGAGGCAGACACCAAAAAGAGTGGTCACTACTGGTGAGACTGGCCCAAAACCGGGATGCCTGGAGAGCCTTTGCACTTTGTGATTGTGGCCTATGCCGACAAAATGCCCCTGACAGGACGATGCTAATGACTCATCTTATCGTTAAAAATTTTAACATAAACAAAAATAGGCAATAGAAGAGTGGTTCCTTTTTCCAAATTAAAATTATAAAAACTTCTTACAAAAGAAATGTTTAAGGTAACATTGTCTTTTACTTTGGGGGTGCTTGTCAAAGAGTTCTCCGAACCCAGCACTGTATCCATCTTGAAGTTTCGCGGGATTGACCAGATATTTTTAGAAAAATCAATTTAATGTGACTTTCTTTTTTTTTTAAATATTATCTGGCAAGATCTTTAAGTCTCTTGTTCAAACCTTTTTTTGAAACAAAATACTTTAATTTGAAACAGTCAATCAGTAAATGTATTTCTTGGGCAACCTATTTCTGTACATACATAAACGTTTTGAAAATAAACTACGGATATATTTTACTTAAATTTCTTGTTGACAACTTATTATACGTTAAGCTTGTGTCGTCACTTCCTAGTGCCAAAATGGCGCAGACGGTTACCACTCGACAATAACTACCACTTTAGACTACTTATTGTTATTATATGTTCATCTCCAGAACACCAATAAGTATAAATACTTTATAGTGTACTTTAATTTTAAATTCTTACATTATAAATTTAGTTTTAATTAAGGGTACCGAATTACGTAAAAATGTATGATTTCTACGTCAAGATAATTACTAATTAATAATAATTACCGTACCGACCCTACACTTACACACTACAGTACAAAGTGCCCTGTCTACTGTCTACACACAATACTTCTACATTACTAACTTCAGAGAGACATTAGTATAAAATAGGGACCTCAGTATGATCCGGGGGGCTAATGTTAATGGAGGGATGCTACGGCATCTTTTGTGTGTTTATTATAGTTGCAGTGAATTAGGATTTAGCTTAGGTTGAGGGATCGATTTAGGGTTCAGGTTAGGCATGGGGATTGATTTAGGGATACATTCGTGAAATTCGATAAAAATGTGGCATTCGTCCTTAAAATTTACCGATCCAGGAAGTGCCGAAAACCGGGTATCGTGATTTCGTTGTCAAAATGGCGACCTACACTTTTTAATTTACCGAGGGTAATGTTGTTTAGGATTATTTTTGCTAAAGTTAGTTTTTTAATAAATTCTACTTCTGCCCTCAACTTAAAGCAGACATGTGTCTTGTTCATTTGACACTTTCCTTTTAGAAAAAACTTGATGGTTTGACTTTGAAAATTAATGGTTAATAATAGCTAATTTGACTCGTTCATAATTTTTGTGTGAAAAATATAAGTTTAAAAAAGAAAATACCAATGTTACATGAAGGCATAATTAACAACATATCCAAAATTTGTGAGGTTAGGACCAGTGCATGGGTGAGAAAGTTTTGCACAAAATTAATTTTTGTCACATGTCCCAAAATTACCTAATATCAGCCTAATATTAATTATCGTTACTGAACGTTTTTGTAGTAAGTAGCTTGATTTACCCTGGAAATCCAGCATATTACCCACTAATAATATTTTAGAAACGGATGCATACACCGCAGCATTGTACCTAGCGAAACCATCGGCTTTGGCCTGCGTAAACCGCGGCGGTGTATCTAGCGAAATCGTGGGCTTTGGCCTGGGTACACCGCGGCAAAAATGTACCATTGGCTCTGTTTTAAAATATGCTTGTTAGAGGAGATCTCGTGTGGTTAAGTGGTTGAGTGGACGCTTGGCGTTAATATATTTTGAGATCAATTCCCAGTAGGGGATCTAGGTTTTTTTCCCTCCCAATTTATTTTTAAAATATTTTGTAGCAATTTAAATAATTAAAATATATTTTTAAATATTATATTCAATACTATATATATATATATACTTGTTTCAACAAGTTGTGCCGGCCTTTGACTTTGAAAATACCGGTAAATTTAGTAATAAGACATTTAGACATTAGAAAACAAACTCAAAGTTTCTGAAAGCGCATGTACAGTGTATGTATCATGTATAAGAGAAACATTATGAATTCTAAGTGATATTCTATTGTATTTCATGTAGTTGAATATTTACATTTTACTTTTACGATCACCCAAAGAAAATACCAGTATATCATTAATATCATATAAGAGAGAATAATTTCAAATTAGCTACCCTTTTTATGGCTATTAAGATTCACAATCATATGATTAAAACTTACAACAATTAATAAATTTATTTGTATTTCAATATATTGGGGGGGGGGGGGGGGGGNAATAAAGTGGTTAATTTTAAAAATAAATCATGGTTTAACATTACACCCCCAGCCCCCTCCCTTCCAAAAAATAAAAAGAAATGCTTTACAAGTACTTTGCCACATAAGCATGGAACTTAATCAATATCTTCCCAAGGTGCTAAACGAATTTGAAATAAATAGTTTTCAGTTTTAACACGAGTATAACATTAAATCTACAAGTACCGGTTAGGCCAAAAAGTCAAAGACTCGCAAAGACCATAGTTTTTGCTTCTTAAAATCGCTGCGATGTAGGCAGGCCACAGACCATGATTTAGCTAGGTACACCACCGCGGTGTACGCAGGCCAAAGTCAATAGTTTCGCTAGGTACACCACCGCGGTGTACGCAGTGCCGGCCTAATATTTTAAAACAAAGCAACAATTTAATAGCACTAATTACTTTTATCTGATGCTTTTATTTTGAGTGGGGAAGTGGGATAAATAGCCCTATCTTTGTTGTATAATGACAACTAATAGTTTAAATAATTAAATAAATATATATATGTATATTTATATATATATCCATCCATCCTATAAGTCTAGTATAGTGTAGCCTATAGGTCTAGTACCATCCCAACTTATTATTGCAAGACCTATTAATAAACAATTAACTATTATACTATTATAGTTAATGATATTTTAGGCCATGTAATCATATTTTATTATTTAATGGAAATTATGATTCTTAAATTTTAAAATAAAAATGTTTTTAAAAAATATTCACTTACCTTTGATATTGAAATATCCTTAATTGACTCACAAATCACAATATTCCACAAGACACAAGAAACTTATATAATCTTCAGTATTCTTCAAGAAATTACACTTTCTGATACAGTAATCCAAGAATTTCTTAAGCTTTTAACAATCATAAAAGCTTGTACTTACCTCAAGCAAATGACTTAGAACTTATTTTAATTTCTATCAACAACCAAAGTTGATACATGTTGATTTGTGAAACAAGATTACTAATTTTTTGGTCCTATTAAAATGGGACTAAAATACATACATAAAAAATGGTAAAATAAAAAGTATAATCGTCAATTTTATATAAATTATAAATGAATCAAATAATCCCTGTATTATTTGTTTATACTGATAAAAGTTAAACAATTCCACAGAAAATTTGAAATTAATATCTAAAGAATATTATTATTATTAAATTAGGGACATTTTAAACATTTATATTTAAAAATATTAATTAATTAATACAAGTAAGTGATGAGTCAGCGTATTTTATTCATTTTTAATAAGGAAAATTATCAAGATTAAAAATATTTTTTGCGGAATATTAACAAAACTAAAATTGTATTTTATGGCTTTATTTAGAAGAACTCATATTTAACTGTGTTCCTTGAAAATATAATATTTTTGTCTCATTTTATAACAAAGTTATAGGCATACAAACAATAGCAATATGAGGGTGACGAAATGTGGAGGAAAATCCCATAGTGACAAAGGGGTTTTGAGGTCCTTACTAAAAAATTCATAACTTTTGAACCACTTGAGCTAGAAAGTTGATCTGGTGTTTTTGTAAACCATTATATGGGCTCTGTACAGCTGTAGTATTTTTATATTTTTAGAAATGTTTTTAAATTTTAATCATAGTGCCTATATAAAATAATTAGTACAATTAGTCACCGATTTTGGTAGTTGGATACTATTTTCGGCAAATTAAATGAATTAAGAAATGGACACAGCCGTAAGGTAGCAGGGTAATCCCTTATTTTAGTGCAATACATTCCATAATTAACTTTTTTTTTAAATAAATAAACTTATAATAAAATAGTTAAGTAGGCCTATTTCATTATTAAAAGTATTTTTTAAGTAAAATACCATCTTTTTGTTTGATTATCCTACAATTTTTACAACTATTAAATTTAAACAAATTGTACTTGTTGACAGGGTCCCCACTCGGCAGTCGGGAATTCATTAAATAATTTTCTGTCTGGAAAATGCATGAGTCTGGAATTTTTATTTTGAGAAAAGTAATAATAAATTTGGGGGAATCTTGCAGTTGATGTGCGTATATTATTTCTGATCGAATTTCGTATTATGGAGTGTAAACTTACATGTATTCTTTATAAGTTTAGTCCACACAGTATTAGTTAACACTAACACTAAATTGTACAGCTCTAACTTTTTTTAAATTGATTTTTACAGCCCCCATGGGTACATGGCCGGTAGCGTAAACAATCTCTCCATTACTTTTTTAAAAATTTAAGTTCACCCTATATGCCAGATTGCAATTTTTCAACTGCAAGCACCAGATTGCAATTTTTCAACTGCAAGCATAATCACAAAAAAGGGGCCTCATAATTTAGATGTTAGCTAAAGGGCTTTTAAAGATGTTCATTTCCGAATGAGCGACGCTTTTTATATTGGCTAGTTTTAGGAAAAAATTAAATTATGAGTTCATTACCCTTAGTACCGGCAGTTTTTGAACATGGATAATTAAGTTTATGTGTACTAAGTTTGATCTCATTCCATTCGCCCATGCCAATGCAGGTGCCTTTGTTTGGAATTATATTTATAGTTCCTATATAAAAAATAAAAAATAAAAAATTTTGGGCTCCTATGAAATAACGGAACATCTAATTAAGTTCAAACCCCCCCCCCCCCCCCCCCCCCCCCCCCTCACCACCGCTATTTCATTCTTTTTGTGAACGTGCCAACAGTTTTAAAATTTCATTTAGCATACCAACTAATAGGTGATTAAAACATCTGGCAACAGGGTAAAAAATACAAAATAAATGCAGCTATGGATGGTTGGTGGATGTTCAAAGTCACTTTAGAAATAAAATAAAACGAAAATAAGCGCTGTATAATTCAGTATTAGTTAACTATCACTGCCTGGATTTAATTTAATGAAGAATACATGTAAGTCTACATGCGATAATAAGAAATTCGATCAGAAATAATAAATGCACCTGAACTGCAAGATTACCAAATTTGGATTCCATGAAATTTGAAATTGATCGCTGATGTTGCTTTTCTTAGCCTTTCTGTTATCAAAAAGACTTTGCCAGAATGTTAGTGGTTACCATTTCACCGCACACACATTTTGAGCTCTACAAGTTTCGAAAATAAATTTACTAAACACAAGTCCCATTGCAAGAACAACGTACCATACAAAGTAGCGCAGCTTGCTACTTAAAAATAACATTTACCATGCAACCCTCTCACTCAGACCTCAGACAGTAACTCCAAACAAATAGTATGTGCTAAAGACACTACGTCATAGCTACATAAAAATCACTCACAATAGTCACAAACTTCATTGCTCCAAAAGCATTCATCAACAAAAAGTAACACACGAAACACACTGCACGAGAAAACACAATATTTGGTGTGCAACAAATACAAGGCAATTTCCATACTGGACATATCCAAGTGAAGTTGGGTCAGACGACCAACATAGCTCACACAAAGAAACATGACGTCTCATAAAACACATAACAGTATATGAAAATTGGCACACAGGTAGATAAATAAATACCCAACGTAGTTTCAGTTGAGCAATCAATTTAATGGTGAATGTAGCAACTTTATTGTATCGCTCCAGTCAGATATGCATCAAGACTTCTCAAGTATCACTAAAACAGGTGCGCTTCACTACCGCACGTCTGTGAGAAAATAGTATCATTAAATATTCAAAATAAGGAAAATCCAATTTACAGTTTCATTGACAGTAGACTTTTAGACACTTTATTACAGGTTCCACCAAAACTAAAATCCAAAAGATATCAGAAAAGTCAAATTCCTTTTTCAAAATGGTTAGATCGACAAAATAGCCTCATTTATAAATATTATAATTAACTATGCTATGAAATTTATGAAATATTAATTATAAAAAAAGTCATCAATAAAAAAAATTCCCTTGGAGTATTAATATTAAAATAATACAATTTGACTCTTAGTAACAATTCACAACTAAACAGTGGGAGTTCACTCATACACAGAAAATCTGGGTAGCACCAGAAAGCGTTATTTAGCCATAATCATTTTTCGCATAGCACTTTTCGTTAAAAAGTTATGATTTTTTCATTAATAAAAACTCACTTTTTCATGATAGAATATGGCTCAATTTTTGTGATGTTAAAAATACTCTTCCTTGATTGAGGTGTTCTTAAAAAAGCCATTTTAGAAATGATGTAATCAATTTGGCCTATTCAACTATTCAACTAAATTTGAAATATAACCAATGATTATTCTTTTCAACTTCATTCATTGAAAGTTGAATGTCTGATTATTACATAACGGATAACATCCTAAATAGTGATAATCATTGCAGTTATCTGGATACAACCAGTGTAGGTATTCAAGATTTCCAGGAACGGTTCTGTAAAGTAAAGGCAGGAGCATTTTCTGCAAACTTGGGTTAAATTATTTTGGGATAATGCAAAAATCTGTTACCTAAACTATGCTATTAATAACCTGTTCTAGCGAACTGGTAGGATGCCACCACTGGATACAACTAATCATTTCATGTAAAAGACTTTACTTTTACTGTCCATATATGACAAGATTGAGGATTTGGTTGTATTTTGTCACTGTAGGCCTAAATATGATTATTAAATTTAGACATGCCAACCTGTGGGCAAAACCTGTGCAAAAAAAAACCTCCTAAAACCTGTTACACGATTTGTTAAAATAATTATCATTTATAATTTGTGACCTGTTACTTTTTATATTATCACTGTTCTTATTGCAATCATTTCCCTTTTAAAATGTCTGGATTTGTTTTACAATCCCAAACAAGTGTTAATTTCATATTTAAAATTGATATGATGGTGAACTGTAATTTTCGCTGACTGTACACCAAAACAGTGCCGACTGTGTAAAATAATAATATGCTAACAAAACTACAGACAAAAATAACTATTTTACAGTACCGGTATACAATTAGCACAGACACCTTTTTTTCTCTTTTTTTTTTTGTATTCACAACCAATCCAGACATCATTAAAAGGTAAAAACATTGCAAAAAAAAATAATTTTTTTAAAATATTTTTATTTTTTTAGGGGATTTTATTCACTGAGGTTGGCATGTATGTTTTAACCCCAAAACATATTTTTAATTTGTGTGTTAACACACTTATTCTCTGTTTCAGATGAGCTGTAGTACAAAGATCGAAATGTATGGGCCAATGCAATAGTATAACTTTCAAATTTGCACACATGCTGACTGAGTGATTTCTCTAAAAATCTCAACCTAAACATATTGCCCCCAGTAGATAGAAGTGGCAGTATTCAAATACCCTCCAAGTCTACTATGGCAGCACCTGCTATTTGCTCAACAACAAACATGCATCCACATATCCTCAGTGAGGCTGAGTATGGGCAGAGCATGCTAATGAAACTCAATGAGTTTCGCCTTGGAGCATTATTTACTGATGCTATTTTGTGTGTTGGCCAGGAAGAGTTTCCTTGCCACAAGAATGTTTTAGCCGTGAGCTCACCCTATTTCCAGGCCATGTTTACCAGCGACTTGAAAGAGAGTCGAGAGAGCCGCATCAATTTTAACGAAGTGTCTCCTTGGACACTAAAGCGAGTCATTGATTATGCTTACAGTGGTAAAATTGAAGTCAGTACAACAAATGCACAGGAGATGCTTGCAGCGGCCAGTTTGTTTCAGTACCCGGCCATTGTATCTGCTTGTGAAGAATTTCTTGAGCAACAGCTTCACTCTTCCAACTGTTTAGGATTTGAAATGTTTGCTCAATTACATTGCTGCACAGAGTTGCAAAAGAAGGCTCGTCAATTTGCACTGGAGAATTTTACTTCGGTCGTTGAAAATGATGAGTTTCTAGAATTACCTTTCGACCGTCTTCAGAGTTATATATCTAGTGATTATATAGATGTTCGAACAGAAGAAACTGTCTTCAAAGCCATTAAAAACTGGGTGCAGTTTGACCTTGATGAAAGAGAGAAACAGTTACCAGAACTTTTAGAGAATGTCAGACTTTTTGTATTTGATATACCTCAGTTAAAAATTATTGAACAAGACCCATTAATTTGTGGGTCAGAAAAATGTTTATCTTTAGTCCAAGATGCTAAGCGACTGATACAAACATTCCATGAAACACAAGCTGGGAAAAGAAGGAGAAGCATGCAAGATATTTTCATTCAGCCCCGTCCTTCCACTGTGGCCAAAGAGGTAGTGGTAGTTTTGGGGGGTAGATCCACAGACAGTTATGTTACATGTAGTGTCGAAATGTACGATCCTCATAAAGACAAGTGGTCCAATTTAGCAGACTTGCCTCAAGGAGTGACATGGTTTAGTGTTGCTGTTTTAGCCAATTGTATTTATGTTGCTGGAGGAATTTTGGATAACTGCATCATTTCTAAAGTATGGAAATTTGATGCAGTTGACAGAAAATGGTATAGTGTTGCACCAATGCTTAAACCCAGAGCCAGGCATGCAGCAGCGATTATTGAAGACAAAATGTACGTTTTAGGAGGTGTTCGTTATGAGGGTAAGATGCTGAGTGTTGAAACAATAGAATGTTATAACCCCGTATCAAACACTTGGACTGCTGCCGGTAGAACAACATTTCCTCGCAAGGAGTCTTGTGTGGTACCTTACAACAATACAATAGTGGAGCTTGGGGGACTGAAGGGAGAGGAGGCTATTGATAATGCACTCGACAGTTACCACATCAAAGAGGATGGTATTCGGCCTAGTGGTGAGCAATTTATGCTTCCTGAGAACATTCGATTTGCGAAAATCGTAGTAATAAATACAGTATTCTACATTATTTGGGAAGACTCAAATAAAATGATTGCACTGAATGCTCAAAAGAGAACGTTTAAACCACTTCCAAGCATGCATTACTCAAGAGTCTCAAGTGGCGCTACTGTGGTGGATGGAAAAATTTATGTTACGGGGGGACTCATTAAAGATGAACCTACAAGTAAAGTAGAGAGTTTTGACCCAATTACAGAAAAATGGACTGAAGAAAAGCCCATGTCTGAAGGAAGAGCTCTGCATGGATGTGTAACACTTAAAATGTGCTAGCATGTTAACAGATATTGACATTTTGATATTCTGATTGCTCAATTTTCTTTATGTGACAGAGATGTCAGAATGTGCATAAAAATGGTAAATAAACTTAACACTCATTTCCGTTCATTAAAACTAGTATCAAACTTTCCTTAATGAAAAATAGAATTTCACTTTTCTCATCACACATCCTTTAAATTGTATTTACAGCATTACAAAAAAAATTAATGTACAGAACATGAATGTAACAATTGTATTACCTTATTTTGTCTAGATATGAAAATATTTGCACAGTATCCCACCTTATTTGATGCACTAAAGCATCCAACTCAATTTGACATTTTAAATTTACCCCGAATATAGAATGCATAAAGCAATCAAAACGTGTTTTTCATTTATTTATTATTATTATACAACCTGCAAATCTTAGTCAAAGGGGGTTATTTTAACTCTGTAATTCCCCTTTTTGTTTATGTCCTCAGTTGTTACTGAACACATTTTAAAGAAAATTAAACCTTTTTCCTTTTATTCCTGCTAGTCATTTTGCTTATTCTTACCCAGTGTTGCTCCTAGTGGGACATGGACCATTCATGATTTCTCTACAACTGCACCTATACTAAACTACTCTTCCTTCCATCTATTCTTAATTTACTGCCTTCTTTATCAATAGCTCTTCACCAAGTTTTTGGTTTTTCCTCCGAAAGATTCATTTGTAGGCCTAATACTTGTTTTTTGGTTTTTTTTATATTATTATTATTTCCCTTTGTTTGGCATATTAATAATATTTTTATATTTCTTACTCCCCAAGATGCATTCTTGAGTTTCTCCCACCCAGCTAAAATTCCAACTAGTCATTTGAATAGTTCTGGTGCATAAGAGCTGTGATTTTCTTGCTAATTTATTTGGGATCACACCTGGGTTTAGACTTAAATATCATTTCTTGGAATTTTTTTTTTATATCTTGTATCTGACATAAAAATTGGAAAATTAATATGCTTGCTGTAAAAGTTTTGATCAAACCAACGTTTTGCAGTTTAATAATTGTTAACCGGTATATTACATTCATTAAAAATCGTATGAAGAAACCGCAAATTATTTAGTCTTAAAAATGAATTTTGTTACCGGTATCTTTATGGTCTGAACAAAAATATGATTCTCATTTTAATCAAATGTTCATTAATTGTGGAAATCTCAGCCTTTCATTTGATTTTGAATCTAATCTTTAACTCTGGGTGCTAGGTACTTATTATTATGTTTTATAATACTGATGTCTGAAAAAAAATTTTTTTTATCACCACAGACTCAGCTATAAACTTTTGCTCATTCATAATTTGATATTTACAACTGCTGGTATGTACAGAAGCTTGGGTGTTGTAAAGCTAGTTTTCTTCTTTACAACAGTTCAGAACGGCAATAATTTCTATGGGTGAACCTCAATTTACAACACAAGTATTCACTAATGCATAGTGCCAAATATATTCAACGTTTTTTTTGTCCTGTCAAAAATGTCCGGAAAAAAAAACAACACCTCTTTAGTTTTACTTTTGTATAGAGGATACATTATGAACAAATATTGTTTTAAATCCTGGTTTGATCATAACATTTTAAAATATTAATAGCCTGTATTTTCAATGTGTTTGTTTCTGCTGTTCAAAAAAGGAATTACTTGAACCTTTTCATATCAGGTATAGCTCCATTGTGCTCTCTATAAATGATATTATTTATTAGGCACCAGTCAGTGGAAAAAATATAAACATGTTTGTTTCCACATAGGTGCCATCTATATTTTACATATGCAAGAAAGTTCCATTTTCATACCATTCCTCCATCTCAACACCCTCTTCCTCACTGTAAGTCTTTTTACCCACCCCCTTGTGTAAATAGATATAAGAATTAGAAATATAAAAACATTTTCTGCCAAAACCTCTCCCCATAGGCATTGATAAACGAAATCTCCTAAATCAACATCACCACCTCACAGTCACTCTCCTCAGTGTGTAATTAATATATGGATGGCTCCTTATGCTGTATTACTTTCAATACACTGATTACAATAGGCCTTAAAAGTTTTTATTATGGTGTTAACCATGATGGATTGGCTCATGTAATATTACTGGATTCTATTTCAAATTGTTTTTCAAAAATTATTTTTTTTCTCAGTGATGGGTTATTACATGGTGCTAATATTGCTACTGTTGTTTGTTTGTTATTTTTTAACAAAAGATTTTGATTTCTCAGAATAATTAAACCTTTTTCAAAGGTGATGAAAATCTTTTTGTTAAATTAAAACTCAAGCTGTCAAATAGATTTAGCGTTGAATTTATTAATTATTAAGTTCTTATTAAGAATGTATGAATTTTATTAAAACTTGATGGGCTTATGAATTCATAGGACTACATTCCCAACGCTAATAAATAAATGTAAATATAATTTGAGTGTGTTTTTAAATTTTGTATGTAATAAGGCAGGGAGGATTGCTATTGTTTAAATAACTGCTTTTCCTATTTTCAGTCTCATTACCAGAGTGTAAATGAAACTGAATATGTCCGAAAAATGAATTTTAGTCTTAGAAATGGCAACGTTAATCTTCTGCTTAAAATACGTTAAAATATCTGCTAAATAAAGTAGTTTATCTTTTTGATTCAGGCCTATATATTTGCTACATTTAATAACCATTTAAACATAGATCATAAGTTAATAGATGAGTTCCCTATATTATTTTAGATGTATTCTGATTTTTTAACCTTTCTCAGATTATTATTTTAAATTAATTCCTTTATTAATTCATCCTCCCCTTGATAGATTATCCATAGTCTGGTTTAACTCATTACAAATCTAGTTTAACCCATTACGTAATAAAAAATGTATAATAACCCATGACATTTCAGCAAAAGTTTATCATAACCCCTGACAGATTATCCTTAATTTATTATAATTGTGATAAGCTAGCCTTTTTATTTTATTTAATATAATTGACCCTGTCATAACCTGAGGGCAAAAAATTAAGATAAAAAAATAAGAATTCCTCTCTACTTTTATTTCCATTTTTTAAGAATTAAGAAATGGCCATCACGCACTTGAAACATACCGCTATGTTGCTGCATGGATATCTTAACTGCACTGTAAATAAGCTCAGCTGCACAATGGCTGTGTTGAGCAACAGGAAGTGTTAAGTATGTCAATGTAGACAATAGTAACTCTTCTGTGGTTACTTGAATGTTACTTGAGGAATGTAAAAAGTACCCTTGCTTTTCATCTATTTAAATATCAGTAGCAACAATATCTCCATTAAGAGATAGATACAATCATATATTTCCTATGCCTGAGACGGTTCAGTTGCATTTTCATACTCTACGTCTGAGCTTTCCAAACTCTTAAGCAAGTTAGTATGTAACCTGCTGACGCCTTCAGTATTTAGGTATGTCGTACAAACATAATGGAAAACTATTGAGTCTACATAAAATAAGCTATCTTAACAACATGGAATATATTTTTTTTTAAAATTTATAATTATATTGGCCTATTGTTACCCAATGAAGGATAAAGGGAACATCCATCTTGTAAACATATTAAATGATCTTAAATAATTTTTTTTAAAATTTAAAATACAAATAAAGGCATTCATTGGATGCGTGATGTCACTAAAACAAACATTCTGTTTGTTTTTGTTCTTTCAATTAATGAAAGCTGAATTACGGTCTGGAAATGATATTTTTGTCTAAAAATGTGTCACCAGTGCCAAAAGTTTGGAAAGCTCTGCTCTACATATTGTCATCAATAACAATTGGTAGCTTTTGTACAATGTATGAAAGTGATGTGTACATTAGGAGGCTTTAAATTTACAAATGGAACGCATTACTGGGAGCCCAGAAACAGTCTTGAACATTCTCAGTGGTCTGTTTAACTCAAAGGATAATTTTGTTTATGGAATTTCCCAATGTATTTTGTTAACAATGTGAATACTATGACGTTTGGTAAAAGGCAGATGTTTATCTGGGGCCACAGTTTCATTAGAACTACTGGTAGTAGACATTTATCATTTCTGTGTACAATGGGATGAGGTCCAATCTTTAGTATGTAGACACTTAACATATATTTCTAGCCTCTGAGTTTAAATAATTGAATCATTATCACTCTTATGAAGTGAACATTCTGCATCAAAATGATTGAAATCAGCCTTTAATTATTAATTGGTTTTTGTTCAATTGTTTTTATATAAATATATTAATACCTTCAATCACATATTAAAACGTCCTTTTCTATTTCTGTTATTTTTAATATCTATTTTGCTATCTGCTTTTAAGTATACATTTTAAATATTCCTTTTGAATATTTTGTATCAAAATGAAATTGTTGCAAAGCAATGAAATTATTGGCCACATATCCTCGGCCTTTGATCTGCCGTTTTGGCAGAATTACCTACAAAATTCTTACAAAAATATTGACTTACACCTACAATATAAAAAAAACACAGAGATTCCTATTAGGATAGTCAACATTTTCTTTTAATCGGATTTATTCTACTTGCAATGCTATCATTAGATAATATTTGTAACACTATTTTAATAATGTGTGTATTTTATTTCTTAAACCAGTGAATGACCAGTTACTGTTAAGCAATTATTTTTTTGTTGTGTGCTCTTTTCTTAATATCCATTTTCAGTACTCAACACAGCAGCTATACTGATTTTAACCGTTTTTCTTAATAAAAAATCTAGCAACCAGTGATAAAAAATGTCTAAATCTGTTATAAAAAAAAATAACTTGAACAAAATATTTTTCAGATTAAAAATTAATAATAATTCCCGTAGTTTTGTAATGTAATTTGTATCATTAGTCATTTGCATTGGTGAAGGGTTGTGGCTGAGAATGTTGGGTTGAATTCACTATATTTTTATGCTTTATAATAATTTTTAACAAGAAGAAATGTGTTTTATGTGCTCATTTGAATTCATTTCTAATATGTAGAGCTTAACAAGTCCTTCAAAACATTCTTCAGCTGTCACTGACTGAGT